TCTCCACACCTTCATCTGTTATCGGACTCTCGGAGAGGATTAATTTTGTTATTTTCAAGGGAGGAGAGGACTGGGAGATTGCCTTACAGAGTATGACCAAATCATGGTCTTCGTCAGTTGGCCACCAAGTCAATATGCCTGACTGCGAACTGTAACACAATCGAAGGCCAATTCCCTTATCATCTTGTGCACCAGCTACGCTGCTAAATGGATTTTCAAAACGAGGAAGCCCATCCAAGTACTCCAAAACCACTCGCCATTTTCCTTTTCTGATGTGCGAAGTGAGTAATGTATCAAGACCTTCTTCTTCCTCAGCTTTTCTGTCTCCTTTGACTCTTAATGGGACTGTCGAATAATACAAATATATGAAATATTAAACTTTTACTTTTAAGACTTAAGACTAAAGATCCATTAAATAAAATTCATGACAAAGTTTGGCTTCAACATTTTCAGGAAACTAAATTTGATTTGACAAAAATTCCCAGTAATAAGAAAATTTTTTCTTTTCAACATTATAGAATTACTCTTTAGAATCCTAACACCTTCGTTCTCATCGTTGAGATCAGTGGTGGAAAATACAGTAAAAGGTGAGGTACCCAAGAAAAAAAGCACACAGACACATTAGCTTTCATTATCCTAATGTAAAAAAAAAAGCTTTCCAAAACGTTACTGACATGTACGCTTAACAACGTTCCATTTTCACATGTCTCAGGGATCATCTCACAACACATGACTGGCACTAAAGCCTAATTAAATAAATAATCGTCTTGTGAATGCAAACAGTCTCATTTGTCCAATACAGCATCCATGAAACAGGTGGATGTAATGAAGTTAGAATTGTTTAATCCACCAATGATATTGCCAACTCAAGACTATCTTTATGAAGAATAGAACGAGGAAAAATTGTATAGAATACTGTGTGATATTGTTTTCTCCATTAAATTACTAGAAAAAATTGCTGAGTACAGCTGTACTGAAAAGCTGAATCAACACTCCTTTATGCAGGATAGAGGGAGAAAAAAAACTACACTGGAATTAATTCCTTAGCAAAATAACACCTGACATAAGATCTGAAAGCACTCTAAGTTTTAAATTTACTTTCTTCCCAAGCAGGCAAAATCTGATATTCTCTTTCTTCTTGCAGTTTCATTGATTCAAAAAGGTCTTCTGGTTTCCTTTCAGGACCAGAGGTGTACAATGCAGCAGAGTGCGGAGTACCTTAGAGCAAAAGTGCACATGGAAAATTTAGCATTTAATGCCCCAGTTCAATAAGGCTCTTTATAAGTTGTATCAGCAAATTGTATCATCAAGATCATTAAAATATTAGTGAACTGCGACAGCTTATTCTTGATACCTGACAGAAATACAATCACTGTTCAAAGCAACTTTTCATTAAAAGTAAACAGTTTCCATGGAAACCAGAAATATATATATTTTTTTCTGGTTTGCTTTCTCAACAAACAAGTTTAAAGATTTGGTGTTTACCTTTAGATTTCTCTGGCTGCACAGTCTCTATCTCCTGCTCCCATCTCTTAAGCTGTTCTTGTTTCTGCCAACCTCCAGTGATGGATCTTGTCAATTGGGGCTGAATGGCTACAGCTTCTTCTCCAGGATTAGTAGCGGAAAATGAAGATGAAGGGAAGGCTACAAACAGAGATATGAAGCATTTGACAAATTTGACATTAACAACAGGGATGGTACCATGACACTAGGCTTGACATCTATTTATGTGTCCAGAGAGCTCATCTCCCATACAGGGACAGCAATCATTTGCTCCATCTAATATAAATTTTTTTTTCATACTTTGTACCAAATAAATATCATAACACTGGGATGATTCTTTAAATGTTCATTACATAAGTAGTTATTACTGCGACAAGTGGTTTTATCTGAACTGGGGCCTTTGGTTTATGATCTCTCTCGGCGAACCTGGTGGTGTTGTATGTTGGAGAGGAAACACTACTTCACAATCTAGCAAAAAAGATTTACAAAAGGACCAGGTTACTCTCTTGTTACTAACCTCTGTGTGCATCCTTTTTAAAAAGTGTTCTGCATGCATTGTACTCTCCCTCATCCATTGTTGTTTTCAGCTTCAGCTCAGTCAGGTTCAGTTCCTTCAAGATCTTCTCAGTGACAAAACAATCCTGAACCACCTTTTCCAAACGGCCATTTGAATAATCTTTCCACAATTTCTCCAAGCTCTGAGGAGAATGACACTCCACTTTTATCACCAAGCTTCCCACAGAAGCACCTGTGAAGACAATCTCCATTTCTTTCAAGTATTCTTTAAATTCATTATGCGCATCTCTAGACTGCGGTGGTGTAGTCTGAAGATAGTTTATAGCAATTAAACATAAGGCTTTTGCTTTAAGTGCTGGGAGATCATCTATTTCTGTATCAGATCTTCTTTTCCTGCATGTTCCTGATGTTGTTGTTGCCTTCTGACATAGAGCAGGCTCTGAAGCTGTGCTGTGCATGTCTGGATCTGTAGTTTTCAGGTCTTCCACGTCAACTTTGATATTTAATTTTGCATCTGTTGATTTGCAACAAATAGTCTAAGTTAAAGTTGTACTTCAAATTTACTTACACCCATTCAGTGCAAAGGACAGTGGATATTCATTATTGACCAAGGGTAAAGTCAGGATAACTGGAACATCTTGGTCCATAGAAAATGCAAAAAGAAGATGAGGTAAATAACCAGCCATCTTGACCAAACAAGCTTGGTCAATAAAAGACTCAACATATAGCCAAAAGATTGCACTTGAAGAAGAATATCAGACTCAAGTTCAGGACTTGTTCACTTTTGAGTGCTGGGAAAGAAAGCCAACTGTGAAAGTATGTGATAGTATTTCATTTGACAAATTAAAAGTAAGGTCATTTGATAGGTTTACAATGACCAAGATTGAGCATTCTAAATTTAAAAATAACAAATTGTGCAAGTTTGCTGCACCAAATTTTTTACTTGCTTGGGATCAACACTGGCAATCCCATCTTTCCCACTTTGGTAGTCAATCAAAACACAAGACTTGTTTCATATTGCCAAGGGTACTGCCTGCTTAACAATAAGTTAAATTTTCACTTCAAACATATCAGCTGACTGCGAATGTACAATCATTGGTGAAATTTTTCTGGTCAACAACAATGTTTCCCAACTAAAGAAGAATTTTGAAAGTGAAAAAGAAAAACATCACAATGCAGTTAGTAGGTTTATTAGAATTATTAGCTACATTTGATTCCAGTAACAACCAGACTTCCTTGCACTATCTACATGCATACACTTGTCCTCAACTTTGACTCAATTGAACAGATCACAGATGCTAGATCTTAACTGCTTCTTACCCACCACATAAAAAGAAAAACATGGCATTTACCAGTACATCATATAAGCAAAAGTAAAACCAAATAACATACAGTACCATTTGAAGTTTTGACTATGTTCTTGATCATTTCTTTAAATCTCTCACATTCTCCACTCCAAGAGTAAACCTTGCTGTAGTTCTCTCGAAGCTTCATTGCATTGGTTTGTCGCTCCTCTGGACTTTGATTGAACAATTCTTTAATCCTTTGCACCCATTGTGTTGCATCATCATCATCTGATTCAATAACTACAGACTGTCCACCCTCTACTTTATGCAAAGCCTCTGCTATTCCTGATTCGGCAGAAACAAGGACAGGAACACCAGCAGAAATGGCCTCCAGGGCCACCAACCCAAAGCCCTCAGTACGGGAAGGCAGAGAAACCAAATCCGACTGATAGAACATCATCTTAAGCTCCTCTTGTTGGCTGCAATAACCACGGATGGTTAGTTGGTTGCGGTTGATGCATGTGTTGTCAAGAAACCACTGTTCCACTTTTTGGTGTTCACCAGGAGAGGAACCAACAAAAGTCAGTTTGAACTTCTTACCAAGAGAACCGATGGCATTTGCAACTATATCGTAGCCTTTCAGGGAAAGATCCTCAAAGGTTGCTCGGCCAAACATAAACACATTAAAGTTCTTAACTACTGTTCTGTCTACCACCAACTGGGATTTATTGGAAAAATTTTCAAAGATCCCAGGAGTAATAAGCTCCACTTTTACATTAACAAGACTTCTACTGTACAACTGTTGCAGGCGTGAGCCAACAGCGACAACTGCATCCGCTGCTTTACACAACTCAATTTCCATCTTGTGCTTCTTCTCGTTCTCTTCTATTGTATCTGTTTCAGCCATAGTTGTTTTCTTGTATTTTCCAAGGTCTTCGCAGTAGACATGGACATATTGTATCCATTTACATTTTGTAGCCTGTGCTAGGAAATACGCAGGACTACCCAGCTTTCTTCCATGGCCTATCACCAGATGTGGGTTTGGGAGCTCTGAGGGTGGAAACTTCAAGCATTCGAGGGGATCGGCTGAACCAGGAACATTTCGAGCTGTGATTAAATTAACACCATGTTGTTTAGCATCTTTTCTGTCCCGATCATCGCTATTGGAGACATAGCAATGGATTTTCATGCTACCAGTCGTCGCTTGTGCCAAATTAATGGCAAATTCTCGATTGAAAGTTGATAATCCACCCTTAGAAGATTTCCATTCGTCGCAGAGAAACATGACATCAATAAGCTTTTGTTCTTCCTGCTCCTCTTCGCTATTTGTCGCAGTCCCAACTTCAGAGCACGCCATTGTGAGTTTTTTCACCCCTATTTTCAATGATCAATTCACTTCATTCTGCTACATATATTTACGACTGACTCCATTCTGCTTCCGCATTAGGCAACTGAGCAGGTGCATAGGTAACTTTACCTGTTCCTGTTGAGGTACCCCCTTGGAGCTACCGACTGTTTCTGAACTCCTTATGGCTCATAATTTTGTAAAAAAATAATGTAAGACCCTCTCTATCAGAGTCAAAAGTATTCACAACAACCGATTTTGCCAATGTAAATAGTCGCAGCTTTAGTTCGATTCGATAATTCTCAAGAGGTTCCTCAGCTGTGGGCACCTAGACGTGTGGGAGACTGGGTCGATAGAATCAAACATGGCGGAAGACTAGGCGAACAGGTTAAGGATTTTTTTAAGGATTTAGACAAATTTGATGTTTTCTGTAAACTAGAAATCATCGTCGAATGGATCTGTGTGATCCTGTTAGCATTATATTAGTGACAGCCGGTAGTAGAGGACAGAGTCTATTATTTCGTTATCCATATTTACCGCCTTCCCGGACTGAGAGGAGAGAAAAAGGTCAGCTTAATTCTGCTCGCTTAGACTATCTGCACAGTATGAAATGGCCATGTTGCAGGCGCATAAAAGCAGGCCTGAACAAAATTTAGCGTGTACAGAGCCATTTAAATTTTACAAGGAAAGAGCTTTTAAGGAAAAAAAACCGAGTACGTGCATTTGTCTCATTCTCCAGCTTTAGACTGTGTCACCATTGTAAGTTCTCAAAGTTCTTGGACTGTGCGCGCGAAACTAACCTTAAGTGCATCAATTGCCTTGCAGAAATCCCTAAGAATCGTTTCGCCTTGGGTAAAGTCGAAGAGAGTACGGACATAAGGTACGCATTTCCTATTTAAGCACAAGTCAAAGTAAGCCCACCTCCATTCTTGGGATGGACTTGGGAGACTGGGGTTAACATTGTCTGGTGCAATAAGCACTTTAATATTCTTTGGCCTGGAAATAAAGACGAGGATTCTAGTTGTCACTTCTAGTTGCTCTTAATTACATGGGGAATTGAACACAGAGTCCTGGGAATCCTGGAAAGTCCTGGAAATCTGCTTAACTCAAGCAATAAAGTTTTCAGAATGTATATTAAATGAAATGATTGTAAGAAAGTGGGAAGAATTGATTTTGAAATCTTGGGAGTGAAAGGGTGTAAGGTGAAATTTGGAGTCCTGGAAAACCAATCTGAGTCTTAGAAAAGTCCTGAAAAAGTACATGAAAATTTCTTTCTTAAAAAGGGTACGAACCCTGTGAACACCATTTAGGAGGGTGGATAAGATTTAAATAGCATGCTCTTAATTTTTTGTTTACTTCATAATGGTAAATTTTCAAAGTTCTTTTGATTTTATAGTTATGAAATTGGCATGGGTATGCAAGATCCCCAATAAGTAGAGCAAATGTTAAATTATCATTACCACACCTGATTGTGCTAAGATGTTTCTAAGGTTTGGCAAACTACCCAAAAACTGCCTAGGAATTTTTTGTCTCTTGGAATTTTATCATCTTATGCATTGCCTACATTTCAGAAATTTTTCCGGAATCAAAGATGGTTATCTCATTGGGTGAGTTCAATCAATAATCTAACTGGCAGGAGCTCTTCTTGTAGGTTTGGCTAAATCTCTATGTTATAGTGCCCATTTCTAAAGTGGTTGGTTTTTTTTCTCTGACTCATCACTCCTGTGCAGTGTGACAGACTCAACTCAATCTTGTTAGTCTTTCAAAACAGAAATTTATGTTTTGAAGAAACTTACCATATTTTGATCTTTAACTTTAAATTTTTTTTGCTTGGCATTGTTTCTTTGCAGATTTTCTGACAGCACACTGGCAAATATTTTGTCACCAAAATCTAATGCATGTGGCAAGAAATTTGAGCTGAAGATTGATGAAGTGTTATTTGTGGGCCATCCAACACTGGCTTATGAAAGAAAAGACAGAGAATTCAAGGTATCTGCCTATTACATTATTAATATCAATAACTAATAAGAACTAGTGGTTCAAAGCCAGAGTCTGATTTGTCAATCAAAATTAGGCTAACAGACCAAACTCAAAGTAAAGTCAAAATTCTTTCACTAAATCAAACTGTGACAAAATCAAAGAGACAAACACCCATTCATAAAATGCATACATAAATTACAATAAAACAGTTGCAAAAGGGGTTATCAAAAAGATTTTGAGTTATGGGAATGTGATACATGCTTCCCTGCTGAAAATTGAGCCTCAAGCATTCCAAATAGCTCAGGTCCCCCTTTCTTAGAGTAGACAGTGAAATGTGCTGGTTTCCAGCTTATTTTGACAACCATGCAGCTGCTGTTCTTTCATGTGAAAGTGAACACAAAAAAAAGTCACTTCTGTAACAATGTCTACACTGTCCTAAAAGTGTTCAAAGTGAGTGGTTGATAACCAATCATGTTTAGGAATGTCCTTATTGTATTTAGAACAAACACAAGCATTTTTATTCAGGGACAAGGTAATTGAAATTTAGCCATTTTGGGTTAATTGAAAGTCATTTTGTGTAGCCCTGAAAAGTGGAAACATATGTGAAAGCTGTTATCAGCAACAAATCACTTCTGATCAGTGGATCTAAGTATTTATTGTTAATCTTTAAGTTTTTCTGTCAATTTTATTTTATAGAGAAGTGATACCTCATCTAGGAAGGATGATGTCATGATGAAACTGTTCAATGTTGTCTTTGTACTCCAGGTGCAGATTATTTTATTAACATTTACATGTTTTTTACTACTTGCTATTATGAGTTATATATAATTTCTTTCAAACAAAGCATCAGAACTAATAATCACTCCCAACTCCTATTGAAAGCACTAGGAGTTTCTTGTTTCTGAGTTAACAGGCTTAAAACATGTCTTCATAGTTTTTATCAGCATGCAAAATAAACTATCCTAAAGATTGTTCATAGTGTGACCTCAGCTTACTTAAAAGTTGTGAGTGGAACTACAGCATCTCTAAGTGGCACCATCTCTATTATTTTTCCATTACTCTCCCTGAATGGTTATTAAAGAAAACAGCATTAACTGTGTATCATTTCTCTTATCAATTTTTTTAGGCAAGTGTAGAACCTTCTGTTGTTCACTGTTACCATGACTTATCCAAGAGAATAGCAATTGCCCTAAGGCATGAAGAGATAAGGTAAATTGAAGTCACAAACTAAGACAGATATAGGACATAAATTATGTGTGATGCCAGATTTGGTGAAACTGCTTTAATTTGTTTGAACAAAGACGTGAATCATGGATTATGTGTTAGATGTCATTTCGTTGCCTTGTGAATTAATGAATGAGTGGTACTGCATGACATACTGAACAGTTGATTGTATAGGTTAGCAGTGCTCCCAATCAAGAGGATAAGGAACTTTGTTTCTTTTTTGTTTGGAATAAAAATGGGAATAAAAATGGGTACTAAGTAACACAGGGTTACCTGAAAAAGGCATTAAGCAAAACTTCTTCTTGATTCATGCAATGAAAACCAGTCCAGCCATGGAGAGTAACATGAGATCTACATCTCCTACAGTTATCAGTCTTAATAATATATATGAAAAAGTTATGGGTGTCTGATTGGCTAAAAAAGAGTGCATTTTTCATGTAACATGAGTGCTAAGTTGTAACACAAGTGCAAATTACAAATAGTCTACACCCTGAAAACATTTTGTTGCTCTTGACCTTCTGTGATGCATTTTTCATGTGAATTATTAACAATTAACAATATGATTTCTCATGCAATTTGGTGTAAATAAGCACTGGTAAATTTTTCAAAGACAACAAAACTGCACAATCCAGTAAGGCAAGTGCAATTTAGTTGTTGTATTAACACCAAATTGCATTCGTAATCATGTTATTACCCAAACTTATGATATACAAAACTTTGTTTCTTGCTCTTGTTTCTAGATGTAGATATTTGAGCTCTGAAAGGGAAATTATACTTTCTGTTCATGATGAAATGTCAGCCATGCCTGAAGGTATGACTTAGATAAATTCAGTTTTCTAGTTTGGATATGCATGTGTTTTCTTTGAAAAGGGTTTGTGTTTTAATGGGCTCCCCTTTTCCCTCCCTATTCACCCTGTTGTATCCCTGGATATGGACATTTGTAACCTGCAGGATTAGTGTAATTTTTTTTGCTTCATTTTGAGAGGAAGGGAAGTAGGGGTGAGGCAAGTGCAAAGGGTAAGTCACACGTGAGATGAGCCAGGCTCCATTCCTTCTCCCCTCACTTGTGCTAAAAAATACCTAAAGTTATCTACAGGCTTTGACTTTTACCAGTGTATCACTGTAACATCCCAGAGTATGTTGACCAAATATAACTAGATAACAACTCTGAAGAACACTGTGCTAAATTAAAATATAATTATCAGCCAGAAGTACACAATAAACAGAGGATTAAACCAATTTTTCAGTTCTTATTACAAGACCATTTTCAAATGGAACTTACGCCTTCCTAGCCAACTCTCCTTAAATAAAACAAATGTAGCTTACTGCTCTCCTACACTGTATCTCTGTTACATACACATATAAAGGCTTTGTCAGGTTCATTCAATGTGTGTTAGGGACTCAACAACTATTATTTAAACCCTGCTAAACTTACCTCTAAAAAAACAGACTGCGCAGAATCACCATTTAAACACATCCTTCCCAAGAGCAAGCTGGCAAGGGACTTAAAAGATGTTTTTAAGAGGTTTGTCTACTTTCCATGTTTTTGTATGACAGATTAATTGCAATAAATGATTTCTTTAGGGTGTACCACTTAACAATGATTTGCCATAGAAAGAGATCAAAGCCATTTTTTGAAAGGTCATAAGTTGCCCTGTTGGGCTTGTTCTTTTGTATTCATTTTGGTTATTTACCTTCTTAGTTCTTATTATCCCTTAAACCCCTAAGAATGACTGGCATCTAATTTCTCCTCACCATATCACCCCTGGATCAAACTTTAAGGTCACGAGAATAAAGGAACTGAATCACCAACTAAAGAAGCTCATGATTGTTAGACAAATTCTCCTTGTCAACACCTTAAAAAATGTATAGAGAACAGTATGGAGAATATGCATACTGATGTTTGGGTGTAAAGAGTTGAGTAAGAGGACAGAGTAATGACACTGTTTTTGTATTCTTTGCGCCCTTCTTTTCTTGTCTTTTGACTTTAGTTTATGTGCATCTGGAATTGTAAGGCTGAAGATCAATGGCTGGGTGAATGTTAGCTTTTGCCTTCCTCACAAAGTCCACTATTTGAACCAGGGAACCATTCAAATCAAGGTATGGAACACCTTCAGAAGGTAATGGGTTTGGTAATGGGATTTTTAATGGTTATGTAATTTGGAGCAATGTTGACTTTGCTTGTAATGGTATCTTTGTTTAGTATGTTTGCTTGTTTGATCAAGTTAGAATTGTCTAATGAAATGCTATTCTGGGCCAGCAAAGTCTAAGTAATAAGCAAAGACCAAAGTTCAGGTATTGCATGGGTCCTCAAACATCCTCTGCTGACCATTGTAGCAAAGATAAATGAGACAGCCTTAAGATGTTATCGTTCTTACACAACCCTCTATTTGTCCTTTTTTTTTTTCTTTTTTTCAGCCTGAAGCTATACACAAATCCCTTGCAGTCATCAGGTGTGATAAACATTTTTAACGAGAATAACAGGATTGAAAGTTTTGTTTTGTATGTTTGTTTGCTTATTTGTTTGGTTTTTTAGGAGAGACCTCTACTCGGATTTCAGGACTAGTAAATTACAAGAAAATCGCTTGCCTGGGCGTTGTCATTCGGAATGTTGTCGACAATCCATTATATGCTTCTTCTATGACTGTGGGAGTGGTAAAGACATGTTATGGAAATGACGGTATCTTGGTAGACGAGAACGTAGAACTAGATCTACTTTCCAATGATTCATGTCGGTTTTTTTTCCCTCTCTTATATAGGCCATATCACACGCTGCTTTTTCTTGTGGACGAGAGGTATCTATTGGCCTCCCTCGCAGGGGACTGTTCCCCAGCCATCACACGACTGGTGAAAATGGCCAGTCCACTGAAAAGGTACAGCCTGGGATACCACATGTTATTTAATAACATTGACTTAGCCTCCTCACTTTGAAGTAAGTGTTACATGTATCTTGGAAGCAAACAGGGTTAAAAAAGTCTATTTTTGCAACTTCCATGGTATAAGCAGCTTCATCCCCTCCCCCCTGCTCCACCAAGTTGCTTATCCCTCTCCTACCCCCCTTTTTTTTATTTTCGATCCTACTTTCATCAACTGAACTCACTGCAGTAGTACGCTGTCTCCCCACATACTTTCACTACGTGCAGCTATACAAGATTGGAATTGAATGAAATTGGAAAGCCTGAAGATCACTGCCGAGTGACTTCTGACTGTAAAGCAAACGAGTAACTCTGGTAATTATTGCTTCCACAGCTTCCAAACGTTATCACAAGACACAGATATTCCATTATCTCAGGTCGGTATTCTGATCGCCTCAGTTAATACTTAAGTTTTTATCTTGATACCAGCGTAATGTTTATTTTCTTTTCCGTATTACTAGGTGTTCGCTATAGCAGCTCATCTGGTTTACTGGGGAATGGCAACTATCATCTACCCGCTCTGTGAGAGTAATGTGTATGTCGTTGCACCAAATTCCTCCACAAGCGTGTAAGTGAACTGTTTGGCTCCGTATTTCGTTACTGCGGTCGATCAGCCAACCGCTGACGATGCGTTTGTTCGCTCACTTGCATCCACGTCCTTGTCTCTTTCTCGAACATCACCGGTTAAGCATTTTTTTCTCCAGATCGTCGCCGCTTGTGGAAGAATTCACCTCACGTTTTCCAGGGATGTCTTTTCACAATGTGCTTTCGGAGTTTTCTTTACCCGCTCCTCTGAGCCAACACAATAATCCGCTAGGCCTGCCACAGCAAAAGGTACAGCTACCAGAATATTTGTTTTATCGGTGGGGCGTGGCGGTGAGCGCCGCTAAATCTCAAAACTTGCCACTGCATTTAGCCCTCAATGTACTTTTTGTAGTTCTATTGTAATTTTTGTCGTGGAAAATCGTCTTGATATCAGCTCGCACTGGAGTCTCGTTCTCCGTCAAGCTTGCACAGGGGTGATGGAAAACTTGAGGATCAACAGTTTTTTTCGTAACTGCTTTCCCTTTGTCATTTCCTCTCCAGCGTTTGATATCGTAATTTTGCTCGATGAAAGGCTCGTTTAGTCAAGTCTCCCTGGAATTTGATTTCTTATCCTGCCTTACATATTAAACACGGGGCAGGGTTTATCATGTCAGGCTGAGGTAGTTTTTATTCCTTGCTAAATATTTCAGGCAGAACCTGCCCAAATGGTTGTGTGGATGTTACAACGAAGGCTCTTAATACAGGTATTAATTTCGTGGCTAATATAAAATTAAATAACACAGGTAGGGCTATCCAAGTATTTTGGAGCCATTTTGATTTGAGTGTTGAAAACGGTTTGCGATCACATTGGTTTTGTTTTACTGCGCACAGTGATTGGTGCCGAAAAGTCGCGCTAACCAGCTTCTCAACCAATCAGATGTGTTTTCCCGCGCTTGAGGTCCCTCTGCCTGCTTCTTCTGATTGGCCAATAAGACTGATTACTTTGGTTTTCACTTTACGATGTCCAGCCCAAAAGTGCTCTACACTGTAAAATGAAAAGAGCCAAATTGACCCCAAAAGCCAAATTGGCCCCAATTTCTCGAGGGCCAGTTTGGCCTATCAAGGTTGGTTTATTGACTATTTGAGCCAAAACGGGCGGGACAGGTACCATTTCGACCCCTCCAAAATCTGAATTGGCCCCTATGAATTCTACTTTGGAACTTTTTCTCAATTTGGCCCTTCCAAGAGCCAAGTAGGATTGACCAATTTGGCCCCAACGAGGTGCAATTTTTGAAAAAAAAAGAAAAAAAAATTTTCTTTTTTCGACCATATTTCGTTCCCTATACTATTCTTTATAAAGTGATCAAATTTTCAACGGTTCCTCTCGTAACTGAACACCGAGTCACACAACGAATTATTCGTTGGCTTTTTCTCGAGACGTGAGCGTGAGCTGCTTGTGATGGCATTAGTCGAACCTAGACCGCGTGCGTCGGAAACAATGAATTATAGCAGCGAATTCGTCACTGAAGAGGCTGTTTCTTGGCTACAGTCGCATGGAATGAGACTTAAGAAAGGAAAGGTAGGCAAAAGAAATTTCTTAACAACGTATTTTACTGCAACTTTACATTCACAAACTTGACCGCTCCATTGATCTTTGTTCGTATCTTATCTTGCAGAAAAAGACGGTTGCGATGGCCAAGATCTCCTTGCCATCGCCCAAGATGCAGACGTACCAAGGCACTACATCCCTATTATAAAAGAGCGTCTAAAGCTCAAGAAATTGATTGCAATGAACGCTGAACCTAGAGATGACACGAGTTCTTCGTCGGTACGATAATTAATTTTCCTACCAGAGAATTTGACGCATGAATGGTTCGCCTCTTCTCCCGAGTCTTGTTGAGTCTCAGCGGTTTCGCAACTAAAGTCACGTGATCAAATTTTGGCGCCGAGAGATAGAGACGGTTACAGTTCGAATACTGCATTTGCACAAGATGGATTTAACTTATTTCAAGATTCTCTGATTTTAGGATCTCTCACTCTGAATTCTTAATCTTTTTCTTGAAAAGATGAACTGATATTTTTATGTCTATGTCTTTGTTTGCATCCACTTAAGCTGATTTTTTGGCTCTCACTCTTTCAGCGTGCAGAATCAAGTCCTTCGAGTAAGACGGTTCAAACGTCGATTGATGATTCAGATAACATCAGCGATTATGAAAATTTAGAGGTGACATTGGCACCGAAAGAAAAGGGTAAATCGCCCAAGGATCTCTGTTTTACGGACGAGGCGACAGAACTGAGCACTGTCTAAGTAAGTTCTTGTATATTAAACTTAGCAGGATGGTGAAGAGTACATTATCGATTACTTTCTTTCGATTATATCCTAAAGGAAAACACACAAGGTGCCAGTTGGTCAGTTAAAGATGACAAATCTCGGGGATTGCACCTACAAAAATGGCGAGATTTGCTTTATTTTTATTGAAATATATTAAATATGTATTTACTTGCACCATGCATAAAACAAAGTAAACCCAATTTTTAAATCTGGTAAATTAAAAAATTAGTGAATTGATAGGATGTTATCAGACAGTTTAATTTTTTTGAAAACAAATATTTACCTACAGGTTCCTCCTGAATGGCTTTCAAAATTCCAACTACCATCGAGGGTAAGAAACTTTTCTTTGTTTTGTTTTTTAAGTCTACAAGCAATCCTTATTTATTCATGAATACTGAACTAAAACTGAAGTGCATAGAGGTATGATTTCTTTTCTTGATAAGTACATATACAGTTTGGTGAAAATACATCATTGATGATCACCATTATTGTGTTTTTACTTCTTATGCACAGTTTGCTTACAAATATTTTGCAACTTTGTAGTTGCAAAAATTTACTGTTCTCCAACAACAAATTAATTTGCTCATTTGTTTGTTTTTTTGTACAGTTCTCTGCCTCAGTAGAGTTGGATACCCAGAAGGGATATCTCATCAGCAGCCTAAAGTACTCTGAGCAACAGTGGATTGCAAAAAAAAATTATTGCAGAGTATCCTTGTATGGTTAGCAGGATACTAGACTAAGTTGACTTGGAAACTGAATGGATTGGTATGGTCTAAAAATCTATTGCTTCACCTCTTCTGCTTGCAGTGAAGAGAGACAATTTTGTGGTGCTGAATCTCTTGCCTTAAACTAAAAAGTTGCAAAATAATCACTCTCACCTTTTAAGTTCATGACCTTTGTTCTTGTGTGTTTGTCATCACATGCATTTAATGAAGTTGTGACCATTTTGGAGGTACAAGTCCAAAAAACTGCTACTTTGGTACTAAGATGAACAGCTAAAATTTCTGAGCCCATTTGCCAATGAAGTCCAGATACAAAGGTTCAAGTACTTTGGGGTTGTATTAATTTTGCCTTTTTGTTTAGTTTTTTTGATTTTGCAATTTTTTAAAATATTCCTGTTGTCAAACCATTAGATAAATATTGGACATAGAATAGCTGATTTTTTTCAGATATTTTGGGAGTCATACATTAGTTTTTCAAGTCTTGAATGGGAGACAAATTACACACATTGAGCTAAACTTCCACTTCCATTTCTGGTGTTTTAGCTTGTAGTTTTAGAAAAACAATATATATATATATATATATGTAAATGTGGGGGTAGAGTCTACCTTGGCATAAAGTGCTCAATGCTGTGGTAGCAGAGCTAAGTATACATAAGTTAAAGAATTAAAGAGGACACATCAATTCTATGTGACTCTGAATTTCGCACCTAAGCGCTTGTCAGACAGAACTTTTCTGTCTGACAAGCGCTTAGGCACAAAACTCAGTCACAGAGAATTGATGCGTCCTCTTTAATTCTTTAACTTAAGTGTGTATATATATATATTCTTTTTTTTTCTGGCTACAGGCACTTTTTGCACTCCTGTAAAACTTGTTTTTATTGCATAGAGTAGCTGATGTTGATTCAGCAATCAGAGATTATGTCCAGCACAAATTTTAATTGTTGGAGATCTTCAATACATCAATCACCTGAATATAGTAACAGAGGGAAGTGTAATTTTGTCACTTCTCACAAGAAAAGATTCTTGATGCTCTCATTGGGTTACTTGGCTCATTTATATTTTCTTACAATCGGTCAAAGGCAATTTTGACTTTTTTTAGAGCAAGCATTGCTTGAAATTGGGCACAGGCAGACTCTTGTCACTGTTTCCTCTATTTTCAATGACTTGGCAAATACCTGCGGTAGTACTTGCTGATAGTTTATATTTTGATAATATCTAAAGTAGCAATATGAGTGCATGTATTCTCAAATCCACTGGAAGAATACTCTTTGCTGCTCTAAGGCTCTTTGTTTTTCATATGCACAAATCAAACAAGATCTATATTCTTGTGCAGGAACTGGACCATTTGTTGCCTCTGTCTTATTTTGATAATTTTCTGTACTTTAAATCAGTCTTAATTATAAGCTGCTTTACATTACCACATTTGCTAAGTCATTGAAAAGGGAAGCTTTACTCACAAGTGTCTCTTGGGTGTAATTTCTTGCAATGCTTGCACTGTTAAGAAGTATACTGATTTAGGGAAGAGATCTATTTTAGAAAATGGTTGAATTAATGTTAAATATGTATGTATGTTATATTCTTTCACATGATGTTTCAAAGTTTGTCTGTTTTATACCACAATTAAGATTCTTAATAACTGTAAAATCAGGTAGCATAAAAGGTTTTTACATAAACAATATCTAGAACCTAATAAATGAGTGTTTGAAAGATAAAGTATGTGGTGTTTTTTCATTATTTGAATGTAAGGGGGAAAATCAGCATGGAGAGGAAAGAGCCCTCTACTTCTGAAGTGGCCCACATTGGAGCTGAATTGGCTCTTTTAAAGGGGCCATTTGTGAGAGGGCTGAAATTTCGGGGGCTGTTTTGGCCCCTATAAATTTCAAAGTGGCCCCTGTATTTTTCAAATTCACCCTTCACATGGTCCAATTTGGCCCCTACCACGAGGTCAATTCAGCCCCAAAATTGGTGCCAAAAACAGCCCCATTTCAATGGGGCCGAATTGATCCCAAGCGAGTGCCAAACTGGACTCACTCGTTTTGGCCCCATTTTTGGGGCCAAATCAACTCTTTTAATTTTACAGTGTAGTTTTCATGATAAAATCATCTAACCCTGACAGTATTAAAGTTTCACATTTTTTGCATTACTTGAAAATGCCTCAAGATGTTAAAAAATACATTTTCGTCGAGTTCTCGAGCCCGTTCCATCGTAACAAAGCCTACGAGTTTTCCCATAGTTTTTTAAGAAAAAAATAAAGGCGAAGTCGGTGTGCATTAGCGGTTTTACGCGTCTCTTCCTAATTTTAAACAATGCAAGATGAATAGTCGAGGCCAGTGCGATTCAACATACATAACAGTGGCAAATCCACAAGTTTCGGTTCACTGAATTACCGTAACGCAGGAAGTCGAAGCTGGTTAAAGGCATTTTACCTATCAATTTAATTTTTTGTACGATGGTTGCGTATTGTGGTAGTTATTAGGAAATCATACAGATGTTGGAACTCGGACATTTCTTAATTTGGAGGAACAACTTGCGATCACTTCACAACTTCATTAAATTTAAGAGTACTCCTCTCATGAACTCTTGCAAATGGTGAACAAATTTTGCGTCTCATAAAATCGACCATTTTCAGAGCTTTAGGAGCTTTTATGAACCCTGTTTCAGAGAAGATCTTCATCTTTATTTTTTACAGTTGCACGCCTATGTGTTCCTAGTACCGAACGTCCAATCTGAGAAGAGGTCCAGCGGCCAAAGTGGAGGCCTGGGTCTAGGGGGACGAAGGGTTCATCGGATATTTGGAAACAATATCCCAGATGGTCCATCGTCTTTTGACGCTGACCAGCAGGAGCCCGCTGAAAATGAAGGGCATTCAGAGTTAGGAGGTGAACTGAAGGGTCTGTCGCGCTCAGAGAGGAAAAGCGTGCTTCAAGTTGCTGCGGCACGTGACCCGGATGACTTAAAGCTATTTACCAGGTAAGTCTTGAATAATGTTCAACGCTCTGCATAAGGCGCAGTCAGCGCAAACTGCGCTAACCATGGAAAAGGATTTATTTTTAAGGCGAGGAACTAAGGAGAGGCCACAGAATGACGTTTAAGATAGGGTCTCTCGCGCTTTGAAGAAAGGAAGATTTCAGCGCGATTCTTCAGCGTTTAACGTCAAGGGCGGAAATTGATTCTCATCGCCCCTGGGTAAGGAGTGAAATCTGACCAATCGTTAAAAGAATAAGTAAGCTGTTTGTGAGGAGGGTATAAGTTTTTAAAGAAATAGTGGTACTGCGTCGTGGGAAGTATAACATGTTAATTTGGTTTTACCGGCTGAGTTGATCATGTAATTTGGCTGCCGTAAAGAGTTTTTAAAGCTGACGTTTCGAGCAATTGCCCTTCGTCAGAGCGATGAGCTAATGCTGACGAAGGGCTAACGCTCCAAACGTCAGCTTTAGAGATAACACCAAATTATCCTATTTGGGAGAAGAACAAGTGGTAATTTCATCAACTATCGCCCTGCAGACACTTACTTTACATGGCAGCCATAATACTACTTGATGACAGAGCGTTACATCAGAAATGATCGTGTTGAATGGCACCCACCATTGCTAATTTCTGCTCTTACTAAAAACCCATGGGGTGTCCGTCAAGAATGTCAAGCAATTTTACAAAAAGTGTGAAACGTTCGCTGACGTTTTGCTTTATCCTTTTATCTTTTAAAACAGACTGATTCCCTACTTTCGGGGAAACCATCACCTGGAAGAAGTAATGTATTACGAGAATTTGACAAGATCTCAGCTATTAACACTGATCGATAAGTTCAGAGATGTCTTGTTTTTGTGTCAGCATGAAGACCCAGTGACCCTTTACTTCTACAATAGATAACACGTCACACTGAAACAACCCTTGAACTCCCAGGATCTGATTATTAATTCTCCCCTCTGCTCTACACATTTCTTTGTAAATAAGTCACAGGAATTTGGTGTTAGATCAGGACCACCGCCCTCTACCTGATAAGTTTGAATATTCTCAATACATGTTGGCTGAATAATGTATGGACAACATAGAGAGAAGTTGCATGTTAATCACTGCTGGGAGTTAAAGGATCAACCAGTGAGAAAATATAGTTAGGTTTTGCTATCCCTAGCGAACCCCTTGCAATGACTGACAGATACAGTTCTTCGCTCAACTGACCGGCGAAATTGGAGTTTATCAGGTATTTTTTCGCTTGCGAAAAGGCTCTAACTAGCGACAAGGTATGAGTGGCGAAGCAGACTTACCCCACGCGTGAGACCAGACCCGAGACCCGCGGAATTCGCCGCTAGGGTTAAAGTTAGACCCTAAGCGCTGACATTGGCAGAATGACTGACGGATGAACTGAAAAAAGTGAACAATTGCCCATCTTTTAAAATTTTAGTCAAGACAAAGTTCCCGTATTATTTAGACTTTCGAAAAAGCAGCAGTGAAAACGTTGAGGTCTAGGGAGAGAGGAAAAGATTGAGGCCCTTCCGCCGCTCGCTCGCTTCTTCCATGGCTCCTTTTAGCCATTTAACAAGGCTGAAAATTTTGCTTCGAGAGAACAAATATCAGAAGATGCAAATTCCAATAAGCATCAATGTTATCAGCTTGGAAAAGGTTTCCTTTTTAGAAATCAAAAACAAAATACTCTATGGAATCAGTAAGTTGGAAAGAAGAGAGAAATAATTTTCTCTCGCAAATGTACGAATGTAATTGAAAATATTTCATGAAATGTAATTAGGTTAAGGTCGAGTAAATTAGGATGAATTAAAATTGTGAGAATTTCTGTAGGACTTCATTCTTAAATAGCAGTCCTGTAATATTCCTTTCTAACCTGTACTCATACCCTCGATCCATTTATGCGTGCCTTCGTTAGCCTATCCGCTTGTCCCCCTTCAGTACTGTTGAAGACTACTATTGCCTTTCTTATAGTCCAACGAGCAGGAGGGAAAACAGAACGTATAATTGTTGCGTGAACGAAAATTTGGCGAGTACATCCTGTCCTTGTACCAGTCACTTATATTTAACATCTCTCCCTTCATTTCATGAAAATAAAGAATTAGAAAACGTCATTTCTGAGAACACAAAGTTGGTTTTAATCAACAGGTATTGAGTTTAATAACTAAAATCTAGGACAGAATTTAATACACCACCGTTTATGGGGTAGCGCGCCACTCCTCTATCCGTTTTATTATTCCTGCCTGTGAGAGTCGATAGGGAAAAAATGGGAAAAAAACGCAAAAATAACAAATAAACAGGCATAAATACAGAAGTAAACAACAAAACAGCAAGTAGACTTTCCACTCTTTTATTTTAATAATTTAGACAATTCTAATCTAAAATGAAAAACTTCAAGATAGCCAAACCTGAAAAACGTGGTCCTACCTTTCCACCAGTAATTTGAATATGGTTGGAAATTTCCGCCAGAGTAAGCTAAGTGCACATGAATTATTAAATCACCAACCCTACCTTGCAATGTGCACTTCTGTAATAATTCTTAAGTATGTAAGAAATCACTAGGTACTTAGATATGACCTTAGCAGCTAAGATGTGAAGAAATCTAATGTGACCTATTGGAAACTCCAGAAGATTTACTTGATTTGCATCCTAATGTTTTCTAACTGCCGAACAGAGAGACATTTCTTATGAACTAACAAATCAGTGGAATTAGAGTTGAAGGTGGGATGGGGTAGGAGGGGAACTTACAACTTCTGAAGCTTTCAAGAGATCACTGGCACATCCAAATACAAATTATATGATGGACAACACTAAATCAAACAAAAAAGTTTTCAAAATAACTTAATATTTTGTAACTTACAAGTCAAGTTCCGCTCTTAAGAGCAATTGTTTAGTCAAACAGAATCTACAAACCGCACCTACCTTACTATCTTCCAAAATTTTGCTATGCTCTTAAGAGTCACTTTTATTTAATTAATGTTTAACATCTACATGAACAGTTATATGTAGAAACATTACATTGGTACAGAAAGTGCAAGAGTCCTCACTTAGATAATTGCTTTAATTTTTCTGTAACTCCAAAGACAGTTTGAATCAGACTAAATAAACCAAAGCTGTAGATTTATTTTTTGTTTTTGAAACTTAATGGAGAATCAAATGTTGATTTTTTTTCCTTATAACCACAACTAATATGCATATAAGCATGAGATTTGATTCAGGTACAATTTTAACATTTCTAAACTGGCCTCATAACACAAATATGATTCTACTTAAATCAAACCATGCTGCTAACCTACCCCTAGCCAAGACAAGGAGAAAAAACAAGAAAAGAGATATGAATACTTAAATGATATTTTAAAATCCTTTATTACACCTACCTTTTTGTACAGAATCTGAGAGCAAAGTTTAATTAATAATGTAAATAAACAAACATTTCATTTTATCTACTCTACATTCTGAGAGATAATAATTTGGATCATTACAGAGCATTCTTAGGAGAGAAAATGTTTCATATCAAAAGAGGATACATGGAAAAAATATTTTACTGTGCTCAATAAGAATTTGACAGAAATGCCAGATGAAAAAGGAAACAATAAAAGTGAAGCTCCACTTGTTTAGTTTAACACAGCTCTGTTAGTTTTAGAAACATAAAATCCTTTTCCTTTGTTTCAGATTTTACTGCTGTCTCTTTTAATTTCTGAATGTGCATTGATGCTCAATAAACTACTGCAAAGAAATCTGTTAGAATTTACTTACGTAAAAATAGACTCACCTTGTGACCACTCCAGAACAATAGACACCAATTCAAGTGAAATGATTAAATTGGAACACATGCTGATAATTTGATTTGTGTCATACTTGGTAAATCAGAAAAAAATGACTGCAGACAATGCTTTCAACATCTGAGTCTTGATAACGTAAGCATGGGGTCAGAAAATGACTAACTATATGAATGAATAACTATACAAAAACAAGTAGTATGATATGCCATGCAGCTATCCCTCAGATGAAACATTTATCTGGCATTTCTGAAAAATCCTAGTTGAATTAATTTTACAATCTTAAAATCGTCTAGGTGCACCCATAGGTAATCTCATAGGTGGCCTACCGCCAGGGTGTGGCCCAAGAAGTCCTGGTCCTCCTCTTGGGGGAGGTCCACGAGGAGGCCCTCCTGGGCCAGGAGGTGCCCCCATGAGAGATGGTGGTCCTGAGAAGTTGCCAGGTGGACCAAGCCTTGGTGGCATCCCTGGTGGCATTCCTTGTTGATGTGGTGGTGGCCCAGGCATGTGGGGTGGAAATCCAGGTGGCCGCATTCCAGGTGGGCCCATTCCAGGGCCCCTGGGAATGGGTCCTCCTGGCCCTCCATGTATAGGTCCTCCCTGAGAAGGCCCTCCTTGTGGTGGCCCTGTGGGTGCTGATGACATGGAAATAGGGGGTTGTGGCAAGTTGGCCATCAGAGGCATTGGAGCAATGCTTGGATGACTTCCAGGTGCCTGCATCTGCATAGGAGGGGCACTAACCATAGTAACAGGGTTAGATGATGGGAGACTGGGTGTCTTTGGTGCATATTTAGGATGTGATGCCCGTCGTTCTTCCTGTAATAGGAATGTTGAAACAGGTTCAGTTTAAACTCCCCTCATTTGCTCACTGCTTCAGTTTTTAAGTAAGTGGTGCTGGATATCAACTTTTGCAGATGATCTGCACCATCTGGAAACAAACTGGTGAAGTTTACAATAGCTGCAAGCCTCTAGTTACAACCCTACTTATTAGTAATTTGTGAAACAAAATTTGACGTCTTCCTCTTAAGAAGAACAAGTGGTTATCAAAACACTGGCTAGCCAAGAACAAACAAAGGAAAGCATGTTTTAAGGTTTCCCTCCTACCAGTGAAATATCTTCATCAGGATGAACCAAACGGCTTGTTGCTCCTGGTGCAACTATGGTAGCAGGCTTGGTAACAACAGGAGCAGAAGTAGGAGGTGGTACAACTGGTTTACCTGAAGAGTAAACTTAATCAGCTTTGGTCATTTAAGTCACATTACTTAAGTTTAAAATGACAACTTTCTTTTAATCTAGTCACACTTGACAGCTGTCTCAAGCTAAGTAGATACCTCAAGTTTCCACCAACCAAGAAATACTTCTCAGTAAGAAGAAAAAAATGACACTCAAATACTTACCAGTTGATGTGACTGGTGGGCTTTGATAACTCGTGGCTGTGGCCGTTGAAAGAAGTGGTTTGAAGTCAGCACCCACAGGGCCAGATGAAGCACTGGATTTTGCAGCTCCATTTACATTCTTATCAGAGAAAAAAATAAAGAGGATAATGTTTTCAAAAAGATTTAGAGAGAGAGCCTTATTAAATTGTATAGGAATGAGCTGTACCAACAAAAGTACTAGTAGATAGTAGGTTTGTAAGATACAGGTCATGGAAGAAAAAAGGACAAAGCCATGGTAGAGAGGAACCATTCAGTAGGGGAAAATGAAACAGCTACTGATCAACAAATTGATGAAATAACAAAAAGTTGTACTTCCTTTTGAAAGTGTTACATCACTTTTTAAAGTATGCATTTGAAGAACACAAAATGTTGGAAATTTAACTCACTCACTCTGACCAGTAGTAAAACAAGTAATCCTTTTCTGCATTTTGGATGGACCTACTGATGTTGCATGTTCCATGCAACAACAGAATTGTTAAATAATAAGGATCCCATTTTCTTTGTGACATTTCTGAGAATAAGGGGTACTGTGTTATGTTGAGCTATACGCTCGCGATGTCGCTATGGCGGGCAAATTCAAAATTGACCCGCGTTAGAAAGTTGGATTCCTTTTGTTGAGGAGAAATTTGCGATCTGTCTTTTGGTGTTGTATTTGAGGGAAAGCTACATGACACTACATGTACTCAGATAGATAATTGCTTTTGATTTCTCTTCAAATCTGAAGAATATTTGAAACAAACAAAAAAACAATTTCCTTTTTTTTTTATTTTAAGGAAACCAATAGAGAACTTAAAATTGATACTTCTTACTGTAGCCACATATAATTTAAGACTCTTGTCACCAATGAGTTAAAGATTTGATTCAGGTACAATTTTTTTAAATTGGTATCTTGACATGAAAATGATTACTGGTATGTTTGAATCATATCTCCTTTAGACATGGGTCTTAATTTCATCCATTAGTGCAAACTTGTGAGAGTTTACTTCTACAAATGCACTAGTAGTACTAAAGACTACAAGTTATGTTCATGTACTTACTGTTAGAGAAGGGAAAGGAGACAATCCCTGTTGGAAGGAAAAAAATTAACTTACCTGTGCAGCAGGGAAGAGGGGTTTGGTATTGGGTACCTGAGGCCCAATAACAGGACCTTTTTGAAGTTGAGGTTGACCAGGGGCAGTAGCTGTGCTGGTTGGTGGGACAGTGTTTGGGGGCACTCCGTGTGGTGGGATTGGCATGCTTCAGGAAAGAAAATAAAGGAAAATGCTAAGGCTGCATGCCACAGCTCAATGTTGAACAAACAGTTAAAAAAAAATGATTGAAATGTTTACATTTACTAAATTATAATTTTCAGTTTCTCCCTAGAATTGACTAGTCGGTGTCACTTAGTGTTAGACCATAATGCATAGCTAATACATTGAATAAAGTTACTTCAAAACCAGAATAACATGTAACAACATACCCAGGAATCTGCATGTGAACAGGAAGCTGACCTGGAAATGCGACAGGTGGCATGTGTGGTGCACCTGCAGTTGAAACAAAAGAACTTCATCAAGGTTATGGTCTCTGACACCCTGTTATACGACCAACCTTTCTTGTGTAAACACTTTTTGTCCTAAATAGAGGCCCAGTAATTTAATTGCCCATCAACTTGAATAACTGGCTTTCTGTGTTATGATTGCAACACTTCACAATTGAATCTTGAACACTAATTATCCACTCATATAATTTAATTAAAATACTTGAGATTGAATACACATTCTATTATTAAGTGATACTCCTTGATCTAAATATTTCCCAGATGCTAAATCCTCTACAATTTCTTTACCTGGCATTGGCTGAACAAAGGGCATTTGAGGGAAGCCTGGAGGAACTGGCATTCCCGGCACAGGCATCATAGGCATCATTGGTATGGCCCCAGGTACAGCTGCAGGCATTGCTGAAGTTTGTGGCTGATTCTCAGTCTTGGCTTTCTTTTTCTCTGGTTCATCATCTACAACATAACAAAACTAAATTAAGACATCCAATTAACTAGGCACCTATCCAGTTGGAGCAATAAGATCTTTATCACTTTGTAGTGTAAAAACTGGAGTAACCTCTAGCTGGGTAGGTCACTGGTGCCTAACACTGGCTAGACTTTAAATACATTCCTAGTCACCTGAAAAAATTGGTAATGGAGTAAAGATCCTGTTCAGCACTGACATGGAATAATCAGGGGTTAGAATCAAAATAGAAAAAATCTGCTTGTTGCTGAATGTTGACAATGCCATCATAACATTTAGTGAAAACTGTCCAAATGAAGGATCACTGACAGACTACAGGGCTATTGAGAGTCCCACTTCACTACAGTATTTGAAGAATGAGGAATAACACCCTTGGAACCATTGTAATTGAATGAGAACTAAATGCAAGTGATCCATTATTCTTTGATTTAAATTAAGCACTATAGGAAAATACAATTGAGAGTTTTCTTCCCTTCTCTCTAGACAAGTATTCTTTGGTTTCTACACAGTGTGTCAGGGCGTGAAATTGCGCCTAATACAGGCGCCAATGCGCCTAAATTTTTCACTTTGGCGACCAAATCCTGAAAGTTAGTCGCCAAATTGGCGACTAGAACGTTTCATCATAACCTTACCAAGAGATATAGTGAATTAAAAAGATTTGCAAAGATAAATCCGCGGCAAACATCCTCGTTAAGTTTGTTTCCAAAACGTAGCACATGCATCTCGATCGATAACTAGACGCCATCTTGGATTTAGATGAGCCCGAACGTTGTATATCATCTATCCTAGTGTCCACTTTGTAGCACGTTAAAGATCTTTTCCCTAACTTAATTTTGGAGGGTCTATCTAGAACGTTGACAGCATAAATAAAGATTTTGTTTGTCTTTGAAAATGGCATCCAACTGTTTTTGAATTGGCTACCACTTTGAAGAATTTAGGAGCCAAGTGGCTATCAGAAAAAAAAAAGTTAATTTCACGCCCTGTGTGTACAAATCACTCACAGAGACAGATGTTTTTTTTGCTCTGTAGCAAGCACAGTACGAAGAAAAAATGTTAAGTTCCCAAGATCAGACCCTTGGATCTGACCCTTTTTTGTTCTACCAATGAGCCACAAGACTCTCTTAACCCTTTAACTCCCATGAGTGACCGAAACAGAATTTCTCCTTACTATATCGATACAGTATCATGCAGACAAATGATAAGAATAAAGAAAAATATTGAGTGTGGGATTACTTGTTGATCTGATACCAAATTCTCCAAACTAACATAATGAGAATCGTTAGGCAGACAGTAGGAGAATTACTAATGAGATCTTGGGAGTTAAAGGGTTTAGTGAGCTTAGCAATCACAGTGTTCATGCAAGCATCCTGCCAACTTCTACCCCATTCTTTTCCCACCTCTTTTAAAAGTTCACTTACCATCACCAGCATTTCCCCCCTTCTGTTGACGTTCTTTCAAGTCTTTCTCTGGAATACCCTCCATGCCATAGATCTCTATTTCTGGGTCTCCTCTGTTTGGTACAGAGTTGGGAATAGTACTTATAGTTTCTTTGTGAACTTGCATGCAGTGGATTGCCAACCCTGGGCCTGTGTATAACTTCTTGTGACAAATAGGACATTTGAAATGTTTGGCCTTCTGATGCTGGATTAATATTTTTTCTTCATCAAAGTCACGATTACAATACCTTTAGTGTAGTCAAGGTGTTCACAAAAATTTGAAAATAACACAAGGTGCATCCACCCACAACATGACAGCATAAAAATACTTCTATGGTAACAACTGAATGTGGCAGTACAGTTTTCGTAAATCTATCACGTCATGCTGCTTTTAACTTCCGAGTAGAAACGCTTCAGTTTACCTTATTATATACCTTTCAAACACAAGAAAAATAATTTAAAATTATGCAGACTCTTATGAATGTTAAAAAATTGACTGATCAAATTGTTCCTTCTTGAAGAAGAATAACAGCTACCTAGCTAAAATTTCAGCAGTTACATAGCTAGGGAGAAAATCTCGAATTCGATTCACTTTTCACGGGATTTAAGCTTTATTCCTCGGATAAAAAATGCGAGGAACGACGTAATTGAACTTCAAAACTGCCAGCCAGCCGGCTGGATATTTTAAGTTGAAGTCTGAACAATTTGCTTTGTCACCCTAACAATTTTTACAATCACATGAAGATAAGTAAAGTGTTAAAGGATACCAGCACCAGGGCTTTGTAGCCTTCTTCTTTTTACGTCCCATGACAGAAGTGACTTCGACGACGGCGAATAATTTAACCACAATTTAACAAAACGCTGTCCAACGTGGTGTGTTCCTCTGTCCAGCAATGGCTCTCGGTAACATTGAAGTCCCGGATGACGGGTATAGAGGAATTCTGGGATAACATTGGTCGTTGGCGGCAAAAATAAATAGTGCGAGGTCTGTTGAATAATCTGCTACAAGTTTAGTGCCATTTTTTGGCCAAAAAGAAACTAAAGAATGGACGATCCACCATTTAAATTGGTACATTGAATAACAGAGAAATGATTTCTTTCCATAAAAGAATTGTAAAAGAGAATTCTGAGGAAATACGTCAAGACTGCTTGTGAAATACATGAAATAATCTGGGTAAAATTTCCGCACAGCCCCATACTTCATTATGCATTCAGTTCTTGGATAGAGAAAACAGTGACAAAAACAATACTTTGCCAACGGGAAAACAGATTTGCTTTAGAATAGTATGGGGCTGTGCAGAAATTTTACCATAATCTGTTCTAATTTGTTAGAGTATCTTGTGTGAATTAAGATCTCCTTTTTCTCCAGCTCATGCATCTGTTTTTATTTAAGATTTTACGAGTATTTCTTTTATTACAGGAAACAGTGAACAAGCTATTGCAGCAGTTTTTTCGCGACAAACAGAAGACAAAATGTAAGTTTTAAACTCGAGATACTACACGCACATGAAGACTGGGTCGAGGAGTTGTGGGTAGTGAATAAGGAAGAGGGATGAATCAGTATTGCATTACCAAACAATTAATATTTACTGAGCTAAAACAAGAGTGAAACAAATGGCAAGCAAAGTTTCAGCTAGCTCCAGCTCTGTTCCTTAAGCCAGAGTTGCATTTGAAATCACACCATATCCCTCTCCACTGATGCAGACTCCATATCAGACCTACCAGTTTATAAATGTCTCATACAAAGCATCTATCAAAAGGCTAAAACAAGTAGTCAAGAAATATTGATATTTGCTGATGATTAAAATTAGTCTTGGGAAGTTTTCTTAAAAAAATCTTGAAAATCTCTTACAAAACCCTTCATACCTTTATCCCCAGTCAAGAGGTACTAAAAACCTGAGAGAAATAAAATTTCAACAGAGTTATTTTATACTTACAATTCTTCATTAACAGCCACTTTCTCACATTGTCTGCTCTACAACAGTCAAGATGGCTGGTATGCAGAAGTTTGCCTGCAAACTGTTACTTTGACAAACTGTCATAAGTAACATGAGAAGGAATTACTGTCAGCTAGTAAAACAAATAGGGTTGCATGTATAACTGCCTTGTGAGTGCCAGACCATTACAATATAGTGATATTAAGCGAAGGGAAGAGTTAATTCCTTACACAGCTGAGATTTTATACATAGTGAGTTGACCCTGCATAGTAATTTGACTGATGTTCTTTATTCCAGTAACCAGTTTAAACTCCTGGCTGATACTTGGAAATGAGAGTGGCACCATTAGAAATAACTGTCAGACACAAGAACATCTAACACTGATCTAGCTAAAGACCTGAACTCTGACCTTTAACTCATGAGAGCAGTTGGTTAACTACTAGACCACCTCATTTCCAATATGGTTGATAGCTGCATACTGCACTGATACTTGAATTAAAACATAATTTGTAATTCACAGGTAATGGAGATGCCCTAAAGCTAATGGCAGAATTGTTAAGGATCTTTGTTGCAGGTAAAAATGCTTTACATAAAGGCGTCACTTAAAAAGTGTGTTTTGGCATTGTACATCTAGTTAAATATTAAATTAAAATCTCAATCATATTTAGACTAGTTATTTACATTTCTTTGGAATGGTTTTGGTGATTACTCAAGTATTTTCATGTTGAAGTTTGCAAGAACTCCTTACGAAGTAGAGGCCCTCTTATTTTGAACTTTGTGAGCAAAATTTCCAGTATCCTGGAAAGTCCAGTTTGTGTTTAAAACATCACCAAGAAACTACGGCTGGGCCGCATTTGCTACTTCTCTGTTCTTACTACAAGATAAGGTTATCTGTGATATATTACAGAACAGACACAAAGTAACTAAAAATTGATTTGTCAGATATATTATAAGTGTAGTATTATTTTTTCCACAGAGGGAGCAGCCAGGGCTGGAAAACAAGCAAAGGTATTTTTTGGGTATTTTGTATTATCAACTGAGTTGATAACATAAATTAGCCTCCTTGAAGAGTTTAAAACCTGACATTTCAAGCATTAGCCCTTCCTCAGAGCAATTGGAAGATTAACATTGCTCTGATGAAGGGCTAATGTTCCAAATGTCAGTTTTTAAACTCTTTATGGTGGCCAATATACCTTATCAACTCAGTTGATAATACTAAATTACCCTGTTATACTCTCCCACCAACACAGCACCACAGTTTCTTTACAAATTTACTCCCTTTATTCAAAGGTATTTTTATATGAAAACTTAACAGGGTTATTCCTATAATTAGAAGTTAGCAAGAACATTTTACAAATGGACAAAAAGAGAATGATGGAAATACTTTCATATTAAGAATGAAGTGTAAGGAGGACTTCACCAAAACATTTAAAGTATATTTTGAAACTCTGCTCCATGTCAACCTTTTGCAATAAAAATCTTGTCTTCTAATTATCCCCAGAAAGCATTCGCTCTTTACTATTTGGCACTTTGTAGGTTGAATCCTCACCAACAGTTGAAACAGAACATTTGGAAAAGATTCTGCCCCAGCTGGTAAGAAACCTTATTAGAAGTAACAGAAGTATCACAAATTCAAATAAAATTAGAAAAAAATAGACTCAGAGATTTAACAAGAAAAATTCATCAAACCAGAATCTTAACCCTTTACACCGTAACATCAGTATGCACATTCTCCATTTTGTTATCTATACATTTCTTAAGGTGCTGACAAGGAGAATTTGTTTAACAATCAAGAACTTCTTTGGTTGGTGATCATTTCCTTCATTTGCATGATCTCAAATGAATGATTCAGCAGTATATTGTCAGGAGAAACTTGATGCTGTTCACTCCTAGGGTTTAAAGGGACTTTGGTGATGAAGAGAAGTCCAAAAAGCTTGAACTTTCTCTAACGTCTTAATCATGAAACAATCATGGAATGAAAACTTTCTCATGAGTGGGATCATTTATTGTGTTCTCTATATTTTACAGCTTCTCGACTTCTAATTTTCAACGACAACTGCTTCCTCAAAGTGAAACACAGAACATGGCTGTTTGCACCATATTTACAATATGTCTATATTTAAAAAGCCTAGGAGTGACTGAATTAATAATGGTGACATTTTCTTAAAGGACTCAAACACTATAATTTTCTCAGCAGAGATTTAATCAAGTAGGTATACAGTATATGTATATAAATATAATAAGCTCAGTTATGCATGCATTCTGATTGGTTCTCCCTTATGATCTACTGAAGGACAGATGTATAGATGACATCATGAAAACTTTTTTTCCATATATTTTAATTCTTTATTATATAAAACAAATAGATTCCAAGTTGCTGTGCGTCTGTTCAGTAATAGATCACAGAGGATGTCAAAATGTGGTAAGAACATCAGTGACACACTCGGCTGTGCCTTGTGTGCCACTTTTTGTTCTTACCACATTTTGATGTCATCTGTGATCTATTACCTAACAGACACACAGCAACTTGGAATCTATTTGTTAAATATATTTATACTGTATACCTACTTGATTAAATCTCTTCGCATTAGTGAATATTTGGTCTTTAAGTTTAGTAAACTACAATTTCTGTAATTTCTGGCACTGTTTAAATGTCTATAAGATAAGTTGCTAGGAAGAATTATATCATGCGCTGAATTGCACACACATTTTGACAAGTTCTTCCTTATGATCTATGGAGCACAGATGCATACATGTAGATGATTTCATCATGAACAGCAATATTACAACTCTTATTCCCCAAACACATCTGTTGTAATTGGTTGGGTTGGAGAAGAGGTAAGGATTTACCTCTAAGGTGAAAAGAAAGAAGTCACTTCTAAAGGGATGGAACAAAGTATATAGTATTTATATAGGTTAAGTTCAAGATTAACCCTTTCCCCCCTAACATCAGTATCCATATTCTCCATACTATTCACTATACATTTTCCAAGGTGCTGACAAAGAGAATTTGTTTAATAATCAAGAGCTGCTTAAGTTGGTGATCATTCCCTCAATTCTCATGACCTTGATGTTTGATTCACTGGTGGTATTGTAAGGAGAAATTGGATGCTACACATTCAAAGGGGTTGAAGGGTTAAAAGCAATGATAGAGGTTGAGAGGGGGATTCTATTAGGGATGTGGGATGGATGCATGGGGATAAAAAAAAAAAAAAAGCAGCTTTAAACACCAGTTGTGCTCTGAGAAGCCTGTGACAAATTGAAACTAAGGAACAGAACAAAAACTGTGTGTAACTCACAACTGGAGGATATACAAATTTAGAATTTGTTTTGATTTTAATTCCTTTTGTTATCCTACGCAACTTCACAACCTTAAAGGAGGAGGAGATAAATAAAATGTGATGTGAGATAAATAAACTATAAGAAGCAGGGGAAATTGGTTCGTGGATACATGATTGATCATAACACGATAAAAAGTATTGATATACTTCAGAATTATAAGTTTCTACAAACACTGTAAAAGACCTTCGAATTCTTGAAATGTGCCACTGTTCTTTTCATCTCAAGACCTCAGATTGATTACCGCGTCTGCTCGTCTTTACCACTTGACTTTTTCCATTAATGACTGTTTTCGAACGGCTGCGGTAAGGGAAATTGGACAACATCCAGTGATCTTGCCGAAGTGACAGAACTGATTCTTGCCCAATATACATGGAAGGCGAAAGGCCAATCTGAGATTGTTGTTGAACAACGGAATTTAAGTAATGCTCTTCCTCGTGGTTTAAATACTAAGATATTGGTTTTCCCATCCTCGATTATTAAATGCTCAAATCTGCTGCGTGAAAACTGACAGGCCCTAATGGAAGGACCGCGCCATTTTGGCCAAGACTACAGCTCTATAAATTCTAAGAATTGACATGTTCCATTGCGGACGAGCCAGTGTCGTGGCAATGTTGTGTGCGTTTGAAAGCGTTGTGAGGTGTTGCAGCTAGAGGCCGAAATCCCCGCAGCCTGCCAGCTATTTAAGGAGCGTCTGTCTCGATGTCGTGACATTCTTGGCACTTTCTGAGCAACTTCGTCAGTCCAAATATGGTCATGAAAGATAACAGGAAGTCGAAGTCCTCAGTATCAATTTTAACAAGAACCTTGACCTTTCCTTACCCATCACCTCTTATTCGATTAGTACTTTTATATTTATTAGTGCTATATTTTACAAGCAAAATTGATATCAAAGGGCTGATTGGTTTACATGTGTTTGAATTTTCCGTGGGTTTTGCATGGGACCTACTAAGCTACGAGAAGGAAAATCAAACCAACTTGTATCTTTCGTTTTCGCAATCCTCTTTCTACCAGTCCCTTTTACATGAACCGACACGTTAAAACGGCTCAGAAGGCTTTGAGTGAGACACATCTTTGCTTACAAGAATTTTGCGCAGAATTTTTTTTTTCGCTTAAAGTAATCGAGTATTTGGAAGTTCAGTGCCATGATCACGCCACCGGATGTATTTGAGTCCTATCAGCAGTCAACGCACTTCGGAATCTATTAATCACCCGTTTGTTTGCTTGTTTGAAGATCTCGTTTTCTTTGTTTGGCAAAAGTTTGTTTTTAGTCAATGGTGATAATAGGAATGTTTGCCATCCAAGAAAGAGAAAGTCTGTCGTGTATTCCAGTTACAGATAGTTCTTCTTAGAAGCTTGCGATTCCATGTAAGTCACGCGATTGGTTATTCCTGGTTGTAGATCTCTGATGTGGAAATTATTAAGCTGATATCTTTCGCGGAAATCTGGTTTCCTTTGCTTGAGCTTATGTGTACCGGAGCCCTTTCGATCGTAAAACTAACATTCCACCCTTTATGTTGCCCTTTTTGAAACGTTATCTTGGAATGTTCAAATAAGTGGGCTAAATTACGTCCAAGCGTCGGTCACCTTTCGTTTTACTTCAGACGTTTTCAGTTATTTAGGTGATGTTATCACGGGCCGTCAGAAAACCCCAGCATTAATGGCAACGCCGTTGGTAACGTGTAAAAGAAAAACAAAAGATAAAATGAGTAGAGAAACAGTTCTGCAAGTGCGTTTTCAAATTTGAATATTTTCTAACCGCCCTCATTAAAACTGCCCCGTAAACTCATCAACTGTCACCTACTGTGAAAACGGAATACCCTCCGGTAAAGTTTCTGCGCCCGTCACCTTCACGACGTTTGGCTTCATCAGTGGAATATTACACTAAACTACCCGCGAAATTCTTAGAGAACTAAAAATTCATTAAGCTGTACGGGGATACTGTAGAACGCTACCATTTGATTTATTCTATATTTATCTTAAGCTGGGAGAAGTCAGGAAATTTTAACAGCGGATGTCTGTAGTCAACAATGGATTAAGAATGTTACAAAGAGTACGGAATTCGATCGAAGTTAAGTGAAGGGTCAAACGGTCAGAATCACGTGTTGGGCAAATATGTCATTCAGGCTATTTTAGGACAAATACGTACAGGAAACTATATGGGGAAACGAATTCTTTTTATTTTAACAAAGAATATCTCTATTTTGAAGAAAGGATACGTATTTAAAAAATTTATGATCACTAACGATGGTTTTCTTTATCATTATAATTTATTATGTAAATTCACGACGACTTTACGTTTCAGTCGTGCGAATATAACCAAGAGATACTTTTCGGTTTCGACTGGAAAAGGAAAGTTTTTGAAGGAAACTTCAGCACTGACTTACTAGTTTGAGAAGCAATAGAAAGCGTTGAATATTTGTCAAAGAAGAAAGGCGAAAAGAAAATCTGATCGTACTATGTAAAAAGGGAGTTATCCGCTTTTTGATTTCGTTTCAAATGTCATACCAAAAATGCCATGTAAAACGCCTCCTTGCGGAAATCTTATTCAGGTGTTGAATTAAATTGTATCGCTCTGTATATCTACAAGTGTGTACGTGACCGAGATTAAATCAGTAAAAGACGGTCAATATGGCCTTTTGATGGGCTGAAAATTAAACAGGATTACGACCGAGCCCCTCAAAATAAGGTCTTTTCATGACCAATGAAAATAGATCGAGAAAAAATTCATATAAGAACATCCTAAAAGTTTTAAAGTTTTGTCTTCAGTTCGTGAAGTTTACGTTTACTTCGGCTCAGGGTTAGACCCTTCACCAATTAAATCATGATCAGATTGTCTCTCAAAATTGCACATATCCTCTAACAGTTAGTTCTATTAAAGACTGTAATTCGTTTCTAACTCAAGTGAAAAGCTAGTTCTGTCCATTATGATCTAGTCTTAAAGTGACTGTTGCCCGATGGTGTATGTTTTTTTTGCTCTCAAAAGGAGGAGTTGGTTGGAAACACATTGTGCTTGTTTTGTTCTGTTGTCTACCTTTGGTCCATTGAGATAAGAGGGGTGCTTTTAGATCGTCTAGGTACCGAGTAAACCACAAAAAATTGGTAAAGCACTGAATTTAACAGCGACCGATCTTCCGCGTATGTGACCTTGTATCTATCTTAATAGGCACGGCTATTTAAATCACGCATCGATTGGGAGCGATCTGACCGGATGCCGTTCATATCTCTACAGAATTCGCAGTTGCTTAAGGCGCAGCTTAGGGAAAGTTTTGTTTTTTCAGTGCATCCAATATACTTTATGAATACATTTGAAAAATGTTCGCATTAATTTGAGTAAATACGCGCCTTTTCCGTTACATTTTCGGCTTTGCCCTTTCTTGTTAGTTAAGAGGTCAGTGCTAAGGGAAAAACTCGGATGGTTTTTTATGTTTCCTTTCAATGTTACACGTGCATGTTGCGAAAACTGTCGGAAAGTGAATAACAACAGGAACTCGCAGCTAAAAGCGGCGGGAACTTCATCTTATCCTGCCCTTGTATGCCCTCGAGCGTGTTCAGTGTTACCTATTCAGAGACTCAATAGGTACTAGATGGGAACAGCAGGTATGTGTGTGTTAAAGGTGTTAACACCCACCGTGAAAAATAAGCAGTAAAGTAAAATCGGAAGGGATTCTTTTGTTCCGTTTAACACAAGGAAGTTTTTCATTCCTCACTCGTTCCGGAAAAACTGTTATTGAGTTTTCACACAGTCCCTAATGATGAACTTCAAATAACCGAGAAATGATTGTCTATACACTCCTGGGGCGCACACCTTATGAATAAATATTAATTTTATGACATTTATCAAAAGAAGCTTTAGATAAAACTCCTTAATTGAATAGCTTGATTTGTCACGCAGTCTTTGATTGTCAAGCATGATTTGTAACTAGTGGAGAATGCTAGAAATTAATTGACAGAGATCTGAGGGCTACAGTTTATTGATTTCTGCCGTGTTTTTCAGCGTTTTAGAAATAACAGCCAATTGACTGACAGTCTCGCGTTACCAAATGACAGAAATTAAGTGTCTTTTCGAATCACGACATTGTATTTGTCATTTAAGCACGAGAAACTATCCGATGTCAAAAATATTTTACCCTGCAGAATGCGAGTCGACCTTGAACTTGCCCAATCGTCACCGTTTAGACTGAGGCTGTGTTTCGCTTGGGTTCTGCCCTTTGACATGCATAAGTTTCTTCTCTGCCCAGCTTCCACTGATACACTACTTACAATCGTTATTTACGATTATCGCTTGTCGTAATTATGTTGAACATATCAATAGCTCATGGTGCTTAGTTTCTGTTCAATTCATTTGGGTATTCTTAGAATAGTTTCAGTGTCTTTAGGAGTATTTATTTTAGGACCGTCACGTGTGAGCGACTTTCAGTCATTTAATACTTCGTAGAATCTTCAAATTTCATGGCTATTGAACTTAAGAGATTATAGAACACACCTCAGCCATGTGCGTTCAGGGACTGATGCTCGCCGCTTTTTCTATTTCCTCTTTCAAAGAGGATATTTTTTAATGCTACTCCCTTAGGCAGTTTTATACGAAAAGCACCATATATAAATTACCTCCATATGATTACAAGATTTCGTAATATTTTCATTTCTGCACTGGTTGTGGTTGTATTCACCGGGACTCCCCCGCCCAATACGTAAGCGTGACGTATCAATGACGTCAATTGCTCTACTTCCTTCTAAATTAGGATTTTAAAAACCTTCGCTCCGCGCTATTTTGGCGCTCAGTTTATCAGTCTTCGGTGCCAACTCGCCATCATGTCAACTTCAAACGAGCCTCCTGTTAAAGTACAAGTTCTGTACCTTGTGAGAAGAAAAAAGGTAAGCCGTTTACTGACGATGTTTCACTTGCATTTTGCGCTTCTTTGGCTCTCGAAATTGGTATCACTAGCAACCCGTCCCTTCTCACACAACTCTTATCTGGAGAAGTTTACGGTGAACTTAAACTGAATGATGTATAGAAAGATGCATTTAACCCAAGGTTTTAATCTCAAGAAGATCAACGAGCTTTCATCTGACTACCGTTAATTATCGTTGGTCAGCCGCGTTTGCCGATTGTTTATCTTTGTACTAATTCTAGACGACGTTTGCTTTTTCTCGTTATGAACAGTGGGAAACAAAAGACGTTAGCGTGAGTGGATTCGACGGAAAATGTAAGTGTTCCCTTCTTCCTTATATTTATCTCCATATGGAGTACATATGCTTCATGGACACGGTTTCAATTCAACGCCACAACCAAATTAGTACGCCTTGGTTCGATGAGTGGTAATTGTTTTTGGGATCGCCCACTCTCTTATCAACGGCAATGACAACAAGTTATTTATAAACATCTCACAGTTGGAAATAAGAGCGAAAGAAATTTTTGACCACAAGTTGCCTTTTGAAATCGGCGATTCGCGTTTAGATTAAGTACGATCTTTGAAGTGCGAAGCATTTCATTTTGATTTTGTCAATCAAGTTAATTCTAGCGATCGAAATGACACCTGCAAGAACTTGCTCAATGGTTTTGCGATTGAGAAACTATACACAGTTCAGAAAGTGGTGGGATTGCTTGTTATGATGTTGTCTGTGCCCCACTCACCCCCGGCCCACAGACTGTTTCACCTGGCTGTTTGTAGCTTCTTTTCTCACAAGTAACCAAGTAAAATGAACAGAAAGTCAGACAAAGAGTACCTTAGAAGTGAAGATGGTTCATTTTGAGCCTCATTTTAAGATGGAATTTCTTGCAAGAGGCAGAATGATATACCCATGAGATAAATCTTAAGTTTTCCAAAGTGGTGCTAAATGTCATGATCCTCTAACTATTTTGAACTACCTTAAAGCTACATGAGGTAAGTGACATAAATAACCAAAATGCTGCAACACGCATGGCATTAAGATACTGTAACAGGTCTTGATCTGCTACAAACTGCTCTGTGTGCTTCACTTCCTAGTCAAGTTACTGTAAGATATTTCATTACTGTGATGAAAGCACAAATTGATAGAAATTTGACTTGTCATGGATTCAAAATTCTGAATGCCATAATCTGTCACCCACTAAAAAATATTCCATTTTTAGTCATAGTCTTAAGTCATAGTCAAAACTCCTTCTTCATTTTTTGATCATTGCATTCAGACTTTATTTGGTTCCAACAAAATTCATCTGTAGTTTGTATTGATACTTATAATTTGTTCAACAATCAAGAGCCACTCTTTTGAATGATAATATCCCTATTCCCTTAGTCTTAATGTTTGTTTTAGCAATGATACTTCAAGAGAGGATATGATGCCAATCATTGTTGGCGATTAAAGGATTAAGATTATGCCTAGATAGCGGGGAGGAAAATTTGAGGAAATAGTTGTGATCAGAAGGGTATTGATCTGATCTAATTCCAAATTCTCTGAACTTACCTACAAAGAAGTGTATAGAAACTTTCACAGAGAGTGTCCACCATGATCTTAGGAATGAGGAGGACAGAAAGAAGCCCCTACAGGGGCTTATTTGAATTGCTATGGTTTTACAGAAATCAATAACAGCCACATTTGTTTTTTAATCTTGCTTAGGATTAGTGTGATTAACAATAATTTGAATATTTAACATGCCTTTTGCTCATCAGGTCAAATAAAAGTTGAATCAACAGCAAGGAAAATCTTGCGACAGAAAACAATGGAAATTGAAGTGTCAGGGAACAACTTCTGTGTGGTAGAGATGGGTACAGCAGGTTGTCATAGCAATGTGATTGGACTTTTATGTATGAAACGGGACTCCAAAATACAAGGGCATTTCTTTAAGTCCCAACACAAGGAAATACTCAACAACTTGATGACCATACTCAGAGAGTGCTGTAGAGGTGAGAGAAGTGTTTTGTTCATGATTTAAGTTGCCAATTGCTATTGAAAGAATTAACAACATTGATGTGAGACATCACTTGCTTGAAACACTTTCAGCAGCTATTTATTGTGACCAGTTTTGAGAGATAAATTTTTCTTTTTGCCATTTTCAAAAGTAATAATTTTCCTAAATGTTGATTGATTTTAACTCAAATAATAAAACAAGTGGGAAGATATCTGACATGGCCTATGAATAAGAAAACAAAAATGGTGAGAAACTTTTTTTACATCCATATCTCATTTTGAATTTAAATTTCTGCAATTTATTGAGTATCATTATTTGTGCAAACAAAGAGCCTTGGTTAATCCTGACAAATTTACTTATAATCTAGATAGAATTTGTGGATCACCAGAGCCAATAACTGACATTTTTAGAGTCAGGCAAGGATAGTATTGCTTTAGCATATTCAGTCACTTCCCACCTTAACTAAGGAGACAGTTAAACAATCAAACACCTGTTGTGATAAGGTTATTATTCAAACTTGTGCCTAATTGAATACTTAATGGTGGTACTTAATAGTTGCACCTGTCTTGTGAAGCTTTGAGACTTTGTCATTAATTTGTTTGTGTGTTAATTTGTAGTTGATTCATTTGATGTGAACTTGGATGAAGACCTGAACTGTTTCCCTTCTCAGTCAACCAAAGCCCAACTTCATGTCTTCCATGACAAGATCTGTTTGTCATCAAACTCTGGTTATGATTTCAAAATCTTGTGTGAATATCCATTGAATTCCCTTTCAAACTGGCAACAAGACCCAACAAACGTGACACTGACCATAGTGCACAAAGGCAAAGAAGAAAAGCTGCTTTTAAAGACTGACAAAGGAAGGGGTATTTGTGCAAAGTTATCCTCATCTGTTCAAGAAGGATATCAAGGAGTACAACAATGTGATGGCAATTCCAATATTATCACAATACCTTCAAGGATAAGCAAAAGTTGTGAAATTTTGGATCACCTGCATCGTCGTACCAGACCAAAAGCAAATTCAATGTTATCCTCAAAGAGAAAACCAAAACCAAAGTCCCAACTTACCCCTGAACTGAGCATGGACACCAAAGATTTTAAACAGAACTACCCTGATCCATGTTTTGCTGGCCCTGGACATTTTGAAAGTAATGTGACTGTAGAAAGCAAGGTGAAACTTACAGCTCTCGAGATTTGTGATGAAACAAATGGTCAGAACAGCTGTTCATCACCCAGTGACGTACACGACAGTGTGACTCTACAACCTTCTCCCCCTCCAATTCCACAAAGACAAGCCAAACAAAATTCAGCAAAGGGTGGTGAATCTCTCCCAAGAGCATACACATTACCACCCAGCTTTCGGATTGTGTCCCAACTGGATGTTGGGGAAAGGCAGCACCTTAAAAGTGAGATATCATCTAAGGGAATAAAAACTGTTGAAATTAAGGAGCTCGTTCAACCAATACGTGTAGATCCTCTTTATAGAAATTTTGGAAACCATTGTGATTCATACACAGGCTTAAAGATAAATGTGGAAACAAATAAAACATCTGAATCATGTGGTGTGTGTTCACCTGAAGGAGAGGAACAGGATATTTTCAGCATGGCAGGAAGTGAGGGAGGCTCAGAACCTTGTGTGGAGGAGCCTACAGTTATGCAAAACAGGGCATCACCACAACCTTTCATGATGTCAGATTCTGTTCCAAACTCCCATGCAGATAGGAAAATTCAGGATGAAGATAAAGAACAAAGTTCAGATAGCACCTGTCACTATGTGAACTTGCCTGAAGGGTCAAGACCAAGCTGTTATCTTTACATGAATCTTCCTAATTTGAAGACAGCACCCAAAGAGGCAGCTGTTTATGTTAATCATGTGTTTATGAGTCACAGTATGCAAGGGATTTATGAAAATGTCCAACAGTTTTACAATGAGAAGTTAGAAGAGTGTGGAGCTCCACCTGTTCCTCCACCAGTGCTTAAACCTCGCCAGCCTCCTCCGAGATTACCAAAAAGGGCATGTGGAGGTGGGCAAAGAGTACAGCCAACGCCCCCCAGGAGTCCGCCACATATGGGGGCTCCTCATTCACCACCTCCACCCCGTCCACCCAAAAAACATGGGGGCGTTTCAAAGATGCTGGTATGTTTATGTATATTTATTCATCCATTTTGTTAAATATTTAGCCACTGTGGGCATAAGGTTCTCTGTTTCTCCATGAGGTGAGAGAATCTAGCTGTGGAAATTGGAAGGTGTGAAGAAGGAGTTAACTTTTTTCTCACCTTACTGAGGAAAAATGATTCTCATCTTTCTTAATTTTACTGGCAAGATGGGTTAAGTTAGATGGGGCAAGTTAGCATCTGTCCTCCTCCTTTATGTGGTAGATATTTTGTTTCAGTGATGTAAAAAAACATTTTTGTTGGATTTAGGAAAGAGGCATTCAGCGGCAACAAGACATCCAAGTTACAATTGCAGTTTTTGCATCAAAAGCAGTAGCTGGTAGGGAGTGGTTTCTGCGCATTGTTGTGATGCAACATGACCCTGATGATTCCACATTCAAGGTAAGTTATGATACCTGCTATAAATGATGTGTCAAAGTTCCACCTGGCTTTTCTCAATTCTGAGTTTTAGGTTTCCTTGCAATTTTTGCTAATGCTAGAGGGGATCATCTTTAAAATGTTGATTTTTCTTACGCAACCTTCCATAGCACCATTTTCTAGACCTAGAAATACATCAGAAGTCATGAAAAATGACTAAATGTTATATGTTTGAAATTCTAAAGAAAAAATATCCTAGTTACCACATCATTCTAATTTTTCATAATCAACTCCCCAATTTTTGGTCTTGGGAAACATTCAAAAGGTCCAAAGACACTGTGGTTGCTAAACATTCTGAATTCATGTCCAAAGATCTTTCTTCTCTAATGGCAATGCTTATTTAACATACATTTTCAATCTGCTTGTTCCTTAAAGATGGTGATGGATCGTGAACTTGCAAGTAACTACCGCCTCATGCAGACCCACCCATTCAGTATCTCCTCAGACATAGTCATATCACTGAAACACCAGTGCAAACAATTTAAACTTACCAGTGAAAATGCTCAAGTAAGTTTTATGATTATTACTAATGATTTACCGCATATTTCCTGTTGCTGATTTTCATTCAGTTAAACCTAGTTTTAGCTAAGCATGTTTTGCTGGTGTGAAAATAAAATAACTATTAGTACTAGTCATCAAGTATTGGTTATGGAAAACTGAAAAAAAAATTTTTGGCGGAGTTACATGTGACCTGCATTTCATTTAGGAAATAGTCCTAAAAGTTAGAACAGAATAATATTTTTATTATTTACAATATTTATTTACATTTACTCTAAATTCCTACTTACAGGAGGTTGGCTATAATATCATTAAGGACCTTTTGCATGGTTTTTGGTTTGTGATCGAGTTTCACCTCGAACACTTGAGCAGTGATGGGGAACACTTTGTGGGAAATGTCTGCGTAGAACCCAAAGATCTTCTTCCTGGTGAAAAGTGTCCTGTAAACAAAAGGGTTAATCTTGGAATTAATGAAGACTTTGAATTGAAGGTTCATTCGGTAAGTTATGATTGCATTTGTTCATTGGCACTTGCTTTTGAAATGTTTGGAAACCCACTGTTCTAGCTAAGTTTTGCTTGTTATATTTATGCAAGCCTGCAGAGTACCTACATCTACTAGTCACTTGTAAAAAAATTGTGGTTTTGTGCTCCATTGTATAGTAATTGCTACCTTTAAGTTTTAGCCTTTTAACTCCTTACACCTTACCATTAGATTCTCTCTACGCTGATTCTTACATTTCCTGTGGTAATGACAAGGAGAATTTGTTTGACAATCAGGAGCCTCTTTAATTGGTGGTCTTTTCCATTATTCTAATGTGACCTTTACATTTGATTCAAGGGTAATTCTGCAAGGCAAAATTAGAAGCCATTCACTCCTAGGGGTGAAAAGGCTAAGCTTGCTAATTCTTAAGTTTCATAGGGGCAAGTTACATTTTTACCCCACGGTAAAGCATTATTGTGACAGTTCCACAGCAAGTTGTTTACTGAAAAGAGTAACAGATCATTTGTGCACAGAAACTGAAACCTTTTGAAGGCAAACAAGTTTTACAAAAGATGATCAAATATTTACCAAACATTTTGATTTTGAATTTCAGCAACGCGTTAATTGTAAACAACATGGAATTCTTCGGGGACAGGAAAACCAGACAAGCAAACATGTGATTTCTGATTATGCAAAACGGAAAAAAATGTGTGGATTGCTTGATATTTCCTCATACAAACAAAACTGGAGAGATGTTGCTGGAAAGTTGAGGTTTAGCTGGGAGGAAATAAAGGGCATCGAGGACAAAGCACATAGATGCCCCACCTTTTCACCAATGGAAGATGTTCTTACGACATGGGAACAGAGGGATCCTGAAAGCAGCTTGGAAAGACTTATCAGGGTATTAAGAGACATTGAACGATTTGATGTCATAAGTGATCTCGGTTTTCCAGTAGGCTCTGAAATTTTATGATCCATGCCACGCTGTTGCTGATTTATGAAGAACGATGATGAGTGTTATGGGCTGGTGTACCTGAAATTTGAAACCAAGTTCACCCTTTGGTAATTAAAAGCAAAGTGAGGTCCAAGACAATTATATACTTTGTTTGTTTTTAAGTGAGAAAGAAATCACTGTTTCAATTTAATTTTATGACAGTGAAATTAACTGACTACTAAATTGAAATTGGTCTACTGCAGCCCAGTCCCAAGTAGTTCTCAAGTGTAAGGAAAGGTAGAAAAACGTAACTGAAATGACATTCTCATGCTTACATCACTGGTAAGTGCTGGGCTTAAGGACTGCTTTATTTATAGGGTATCATTAGTTTTAGTCGTATTTCTGGTGTGAAATTGAAATTAATTTTTCTAAAATGTCTCTTCATTTTTTTGATCAGTTTATGCTCCTTGATGAGTTTCCCATTTTGAATGGATTACAAAATTTTCATCTTGAAAAGTAATTTTACTTAAATTGTACTGTATCATTCAATTTTTTGGTAAAAAAAAAAAAAAAGACAAAAAAAGGCCAGAATTCTTGGTTCTTAAAAATCAGTGCCAACATAAAACTCTTATCTCAGGGTCAGAGAAAATGGTTGAAAAACAGCCTGTTTACTGCGAACAAGTTTTAGCTCTTGGAGATGGAGGGGGCTGGGGTGGGGAGTTTTGAGACGACAGGTTTTACAGATACTTGGGTGTAGCTTTGGTATCTACCCTAATTTGGTTTTTTGGATCAGGAACTAACATGTCAAAAGGTAGAATAAACCTGCTAGGGTTTGTAATGGTCACAAAAATGCTTGTATTTGTTTACAGTTTTTATACATTTCTGTCTTTTTTTCCTAATTTTTTAAACAAATCTTCTTTGTACAAGGCATTTTCATAACTTTAATGGCAACTTGCTCTACCATTGCAGTAGGTTCCTTTAACATACAGTTTCAGTGTAATACTTTTTTGGTGTATATTTTGATGAGGTGATTGACAAAGGTAACCAACATGTAGGTTACAACATGTGCATGGCACCAAAACTAAATGTTTGTTTCTTCCTATGGGAGTTGTTATAAAGTAAAAGTTTCACTTTAAGTTTACTGAAATAAATGCATTTTTACAAAAATGTGCCTCCCCTTATAAATCTACCAAGTAAGTTCCCTAAAAACTTGTCTTTGGTTTTATACAAAACCAACAAAATCACCAAAGATGCTACGCAAGACAACCTGTGTTGTTTTATGAATAAAAATTAATTTTATTAGTATGTTTGATGGTTGTAAGTGATATCAACACTGAAGCTTTAAGTGCTCAAGTTTAGGGAAAGATTTTACATGGGTTTTGAATTTATGACTTTCTCTATCCACTGCACTAATAAATTTCTAGCAGGAACAGTTACACTGAAACAACCTTTTACCTTTAAACCCTTTTACATGTAATATTGACTAAGATCTAACTTCTCCTTTCACTGCTACTGCTGAATCACACCTTGAGGTCATGAGAATAAAGGAAATGATCATCAGCTTAAGTAAGACGCTCATGATTTTTAAACAAATTGTCCTTGTCAGTACCATAGGAAATGTATAGTCCTAGAGAATAGTTAGGAGAATATATATACAGATCATAGGGTAAGAGAGGTGAAGCAATTATTTCAGAAAGGAATTGTGACTATTTCCTTCTGGAATGAGAAAACCCATTTTTGAACATTTTTCCACAATCACAAGAAATTTTATTAACTATTAAATAAAGATTCTTTACATCTTAGCATAGTGTAACTACTTCAAGGCTTCGACTCTGACTAGCATGTGATTAAGCGCACTGTGACTCAGTAAGACACAGAGAATAATTAGATGTTCATTTTCAACCCCAAAAAAATATTCTTTGCTAAATTATCTTTCTTTGGACAAATAACAAAGAAGAGTGAAAGATTAAATTGACTCTCAGTCTTGCTAATTTTCTTTATTGACAAGGGACAAGTACAACAAGTACAACAGTGAAGTCACCAGTCAACAAACATTAACCATTTAACTCCCATGAGTGACCAAGACAGAATTTCTCCCTACAATATCAATACAATATCAACCAGATAAGTGATGAGAATAAAGAAAAATATCAATTTGGGGATAATTAGTTGATCTAATACTAAATTCTTTGAACTAACATAAGAATTGTATGGCTGGCAGTAAGGAGAATTAAAAATTGGATCTGGGAGTAAAAGGGTTAAATAACTCAGTCTGGAAACCCTCAGAAGAATGTCAGCACAGATGGAAAATGACTACTGGATTACAAATGGAAACCACAGTTTTGAGCTGCTGTAGGCATCATATAAGATGCTTAACCCTATAGTATTTTTTTTACATTTAGCAACCTGCCTACTATATTTAAAGCAAATCTTGACTTTTCCTAGTATTTCCTTTGAATGCAATTCTCTTGGACTTTAAACATGTACACATCACTTTCAATTTACTTGGAGCTGCATGCTAGTGTAAGCTTCTGTTGAAAATCTCACATCCCTTGATACCAGCCTTCATGGTCACTTGTCTTTTCAAAGAAGAGGTGTCTATAAGGAAAGCATGATGGCCAGTATCCAAGTGAATAACTTACAAAGAGAGAAGCTTAACCATTTCTCAGAGATAATAAAACTGAGGAGAAGTAAGAACTTCAATAAGTAGTTCTTTGTGATGCTATATCCTCTCTGATAACCATATAGCTGCTTTACAACCTGTCTGTATGGCTGTGGATAATGCTTGGTACATCGGTGCCTGAAGAAAATTTAACAAGCATAAAACAGAAAAGCATAATTAACCTATGACATAAAAGATTGGTTTTCAATAGCTACCTTTAGTTTTACTCTCCTAAACTCTACGTATGGTAACAATTTTAAAATTCTAAGTAAGGCCAAGTAACACCAAATCCTGCTGCCTTTTTTATCACAGTACTGTGGCTTTGACACTAATTCCCTACATTGATTTTTTAAACAATATGGATACCAACAAAGAAACAAATAAACCCTGCAAACTCTGGTACACCATATATCAGCAGCTTACCTTTTCAGCATCATGTTCCTCCCCGATGTGGAGATGTTCTAACTCTTCATCACGAAACTTTTGTATTGTCTAAAATTCACAAAGGTTTATATCATGAAATAACTTTATTTAATTCAGTTTTCCAAAAATATTAATGAGATTCTCCAGGCTAGAAGCAAACCAGAAATATATACCATGTTTATTTTGGCAGCAACCACTTTCTTTTTCTAGATCATTAGTGTCATTGATATTGAGAAAAATTGTTTCGTGGTTCTGCTTTCTTAACATCTCACTACTGTTCAGAAAATTATTTAACTCAAGAGAATTGAACTAAAAAATTAGGTTTTTTTTGGCAGGGAAAGAAAACATTGCTACCTAGTAATAAATAGAAGTTCAGTAAACAAGGAATTCCAACTTACATCTAATAAATCTTTAGTTTCATCTGTCACCCCCTCTACTAGCAGCTCTCTCAGTTGACTGAAATTGAAGCAAACTATTTTTCAGAGATAAAATTACATGTGCCTATTCAATTTTTCATTTTAACCAGTTATAGTTATTTTATTGTTGAATGCTGTTATATGCACATTAGAGTATGTGTTGTGAATTTCAAGGCACTAATTAAATAAAACTTCAGAGGTCAGCCATTAAATTTTTCTTAAATGAAATTCAGTGTATTTCTTCAAGATATAGAAATGCAAAGCTTTTTTTAAGGTTGAATTTTACTCCAACAAAAACACATTTCAGGACAGTAATTACATCCCATCCACATAAGAGTCCTAGAGTGTGCAGACTACACAAGAATGAATTTTGGTTTACGACACCAAATTCTCTATGCACCCATAAACAACTCAGCCAAAAACAAAATCTGTGGCAGCTACAGGAAATGACTATTTATGACTAAATACTGGGAGTTAAACAGGTCTAGCAACCAAAACTAAAACCCAAATATTTTAAGAAGGGAGTAATTAGCTGCCATTACTGACAGAACATAATGCAGCTCACTTGTCGTAATGTTCACTGATCACTTCTTCCACAGCTACAGTACAAGCCATGGCAGCTTCCTTCCCAAGTAGAGCAGTTCCTGCTCCTACATACAAAGTATAAAATTAACCAAGGATGAGCCAACAAAAATAAGAATCTGAAGGTGCTAGCTACCCATACTTAAGTTTACGAATCACTTTTGCACCTCACAAAACAGTTAAGGTACAAGTCTCACAGGCACTTGAGTCTGGTTCAAATGAAGCACAATTTTTTCTACCTTGAGCAGCAATTTGTTTTGAAAATCTCTCCACCTCCCTGTCAATATTGGTTTGAAGAGACCACTTCTTTTTCCCTTTGTAGGAAAATTATCTGAGCCAGCATGAAACACACAGATTTAGTTTAACATTAGGCCTGAATATTCAGCCTGAATAACCACTTACATTTTGGCAAAAAAATAAACCCAACTTTCGCATATAAATAGTTCCTTCCTTTTAGAGAGAAACAGGGCTCAAATTAAGAGAACAAAGAGAATGAAGCTGATAATTGTACTTAAAAAGAGAAAACACATAATTGATATTATTACTCTTTATATATTTAAATAATCATGAAAGGTTTGTGACTAATTTGTAGGTTTCTGGACAGTTAAATATTTCTAACACTTACATCAACTATACCTAAAACATATCCTGCTATATTCCACAGAGGTATCAGAGCTGTGGGCCTGACTCTTCTCTCAGCCACAATCTGCTCAAACTTTTTAAGGTGTTCCTTTTCCTGATCCCACATATGCTACCAATTTTTTAAAAGAATAATTAAAGTTATTATTTTTCAACATGCTGGTCAGTATGTGTACTAAGACTAATTGTGTATCAGTTGATATGTTGCAATCAGCAACTATTATTACCTTACTACAAACAAAATAACATTAGATAAAAACAAATGCTGCCACTTGTTTATGCACACAAAACGATCATATTATAATTACATAATCTACTGCATTCTACATATTTTTTTTGAAGGGGATTTTACCCAGTGTGATCCATTAACAGAGGAATCCATGCCCTTGTTGGCATGTACATTCCACTCTATAGATAGGCCAATATTTTCCTACGTTGTGTCAAAAAAACTCAATTTCTGTATCGAGGATGTCTCGTGGAATATCATCATAGGCTTAAAAGACAACCTGGCCTAAATAAGGATCACACAGAAATGTCAAAACGTGGTAGTTGGACGGATGGTCTGTACAGTAGCCCTTTGATAAGTGGGGAGGGATTTTCCGTAGGAGAGATGACCGAAAGCCGTCTAGACATACAAATCCCATACGGCTTAGGGTAAAATTTCCCCACAGCCCCATACTATTGTAAAACAAATCTGTTTTCCCAATGGCAATGTATTGTTTTTGTCATTGTTTTCTCTGTCTAAGAACTGAATGCACAATGTAGTATGGGGCTGTGCGGAAATTTTACCCGGCTTTGAAATAACACTTATTTTGAAGAACCTGTTTCAAAACTTTTGTATTAAAAATAAGTAAACAAAGGTGCAAAAGTTTCCGATCATACCTGCCCCGTAAGCTTTTGAGAACATCGACAGAAAATCAGAAAAATTAAGCCCAAGAAGTCTGAGATCTACCTGGATGGTTGGTCCTACGCTAGTTTTTCCGAGAACTGCCATCTGCCCAGCATATATTCGATCAGCTCCCAGTTCTCCTGCATGGTCTACGCGAATTATTCTGTCAATATGCGATCTTGGTCTTGTTACACGCGTTCTTGTGGCCTGAGAGCAAAGACATCTTCTGGAAACTCTCAGCACCGGTGCCGCCATCTTCAATCTCGCTCGAAGCGCGGAGATTGGTAACCAAGGTTGGACCTAGTCAATCACTGTTGCCTAAGTCACGAAGGAAGCATGTGATGCGTTCTAACAGTTATTTGAGTATTTATCCTGGGGCGATTTTGGCTGTACTTGCACTTATTGGTTTTGCTTAGCAGATCATTGGAAGTTCGTCGGTGTCGATTGGGAAGCGTGTAGAAGATGCAGCTTATTACGACAGTTGTGTTCGCTATTAGCTTGCTAAGTGTCCCAGGCGAGACTCGACCTTGGGTCCACAGCTCGTTGCAAGAAAATCCATTATCTTCCGACATAAAAACAGATCGGCCCATCATAGGTGAGTCATGCATATGATCGTGTTGTGAGATTTAATTTTTCTTTAAGAGGAGATCCGAGGTAACCAAAGCCCCAAAAATCACGTAGTTGCCTTCAGTGTTATTGTTTTACCTTAAGTTTGCAACGAGGGATCTGCTGAATTTATTCAGAATAATTATATCTAACGAAAATACAATTACTTTGGTGTTTATCCTTCTCAGTAGGAGAAGTCGAATTAATCCAATTAATATTGGATATTCTGGCTCAAAAAATTTACAGCAACACAAACATTTTTTTCAAAGTGGTCTTTGAAAAAATTAACAAGTTAGAGAAGTGATTTTACTTCATTCTTTTTCCTGCTGAGGCTAATTGATATGTCACTTGAAATTATTAAATATTTTTCTGCATATGACATCAGAATCCAGTCTTGCATTTATTTTTATTGTGTTTTGTTTTACTGTTGAAAGGAATTCTGGCCCAAAACACAGATGGCTATGTCCAGACTTTTGGGCCAACATACATTGTTGCCTCTTACATCAAGTACATAGAGTCTGCTGGAGGAAGAGTTGTACCAATTCGGTATCCTTTAACACTAGTGTAATATTCTGCAATTTATTTTTAGCTCGCAAAGTGATTGGTTAGATTGAATATGCACTTTTTGGATTAAAATTGACAGCTGTAGACCAAGTTCAATCTGCTGTGAAGTGTAAAACCTTAGCAGAGAGTAGGTACTGGTAGGTGAGAAGGTACTTTATTTCTTCCACATTATACTCATGAGTTTAAGACTGATTTAAATGTGAACATGCTATAGGGTAGGCCTGAAAAGGGCTTTTGTCAGTTGGAGACAGTGGATATTTCAGCACATCAAAATGAGGTCATTTTGAGAGTCAAAGGGTATTGTTTTTTAAGATTTTAGATATATGAAAATTCACATATTTGCACTGCGGTGGAAAGATGAAATTAAGGGATCCTTGCAGCTAAGAACACTACTGAAACGAGTAGTCGTAAATAGGACCTGAAAAAAATTCAGGCCCGTTCGGGATTTGAACCCATGACCTCTGCGATACCGGTGCAGCGCTCTACTGTATTGTTTTTGTCAGTTAATTGTCTTATTGGTAGTCTGGTCTGTGAAATAGTTAATTAATAAGTAATGGTTGTCAATTGTATTTGATCAGTTTCCTTTTGGTTATTAATAAGCAGAGCTTGGTTTTTGAATGCCTTTTCCAACCATCTTTTTCCCTCCACTTTCTCCTTACTTTACACATGTTGTAGAATTTTGCATATTTGTCATACCACAATGCATAATTCATTCTTGATTAATTGAGGAAAATTAATATGGTTTTATGAACAATCCCAAGATCAAAATATCCTTGGTAATCATGAAATTTGTGCTAATTTCATTTGAATTATTCAGCTTCTGAGAAGTCGTGATTGTTAAATGGGACATGTCATGGAGTATTAGAGGCTGTATAATTATCAATAAGTGTCATTATAATTTATATTGTGAGAAGGCTGTTTTTATTAACTAATGGCAGAAACAACTTGACTGAGGATCAGTTAGAAGATTTGTTTAAGTCAATCAATGGGTGAGATGACTAAAAGAAGTCTTAATTTTAACATAGTGTGCACTCATCTGGTAGCCACAAATTGTTGAACAATTTTAAATTAATTGAGATTGTTGGATGAAAGCAGTGTGAAGTTAACCCATGAACTGGAAGACATTTTTGGAACAATCTCATATTTTTGAAAACATATTGTGCCACATCTGAGCAACTATTGCATGAAATAAATTTACCTGAGGATGTAAATTTAAGATATCCATACTTATGTGACAATAACAAACGCTTGGCTAGGTTAGGCACATCTTGTGGCTCAAAGCCTGGTTTGATCTAAAATTCTCCCATCAATTTCAGTTTGTTTCAGATCATGATAATTATCAATATAAGCCAAACAAAAATTAAAATCAAAGTAAATTTAAAAATTTTATATCAAATGAATATGTGAACAACAGCAAATTTAATAAATATTTATGACTAATTTTCTCTTAATCCTTTAATACCCATAAGTGGCCAAGGCAGAATTTTGTGTTACAATATCAATACAATGTCAACCAGATAAATGATGAGAATAAAGAAAATTATCAATTAGGGGATAATTAATTGATCCAATACTAAATTCTCTGAACTAACATTATAAGAATTATATGGTTGACAGTAAGAAGAATTACAAATTTGATCTGGGAGTTAAAGGGTTAATGTGTTTTCTTTTTGGATATAGCGTCTTATTTCCAGGTGGTGGAGCAGATATATATGACTCGCCATACTCAAGAACAGGCAATATAATCTTTAATCTGGCAAAGAAGGCTAATGATGCTGGAGATGTCTTTCCACTCTGGGGAACTTGCTTGGGATTTCAGTTTCTCAGTGTTCAAGGAGCCGGTGGAAGAAAGATTACATCAGATGTGGATGGTGAAGATTTTAGTGTTCCTTTGAATCTCAGTGAAGGTGAGAATTTAAACAACATTTTATTATTATTATTATTATTATTATTATTATTATTATTATTGTTATTATTATCATTATTATTATTATTATTATTATTATTGTTATTATTATTATTATTATTGTTGTTATTATTATTATTGTTGTTATTATTATTATTATTATTATTATTACAAGAAATTCAAGTGGTGTTTTCAGTATTAGATCTTGAGTCCTTTCCTCTCTTATATTTCTAGGTTACAAATCTAGTCGCCTTTTAGGATCTGCACCTGAAAACATAATAACTTACCTGAAAACAGACAATGTTACTTATAACCATCACAGGGAGTGTATATCTACAGAGGCAAGTATATATTTTAGGTTGGATTGTTCGTAGATTAGAGGGCTAATCACATACAAAGGCTACATAAGGGTGATTAAAACACCTATGGTTATGTATCCCTCTTGCTCTAAAACTGGTAAATTTTTTACCATTTGGGTTTGGTTTGGGTCTTGATTTTGATATTTTTTTTTAATTTAAAATTTTTTCTTTAATGAGTAACTAGTTTGACTCTGAAAAAAAAAAAACAGGGAGAAATCAGTTGCTTTGGTCTAAAACAGGATAAGGGTTCCTGGAAGCATGCTAAGTATTTTCAACACTGATTTTCTCCTTACAAATTTGAATAAATTGTTGATTAAATAAGTGAAAAATTAAATTATTTTATGAAAATCATCAATTACTAATTCTCATACTATTACATTAGCAATATATTTTTAGTCTGGCTATATGTAAAGGGGTTAAGAGCACATCTAAGATGATTTTGGATTATGCATGATGTTTCCCATTCAAGCTCTCTGCTACACTTGGTTTCTTACCTTCCCAAGGTCAACAGGTCAGCTCTGAATGGATAACCAACTGTGTGCCCCCTTACTTGCAATATTTCTGCCACCTTATCTTTTCAACCTCTTTATGTTATTCTTTCCCTGTTTGCTTTTTTGTACTTGACCTGAAAAGCCCACCTGAGATATCAGTCTACTGCCTGATGTTATCATGATTATGTGTGACAGTAGGATGAAGAGTTTTCTTTTGAAAGATAGTGACGTCACAATATTATCATTTTAGACATATTCACAAGACGAGCAGTTAAAGAAGTTCTACAATTGTCTATCAACCAACAGAGGCAAGAAAGGAAAGGAGTTTGTATCAACAATTGAAGGTAGGGCTTTCCCGACAGGTTAACAGTATCCATTTATATTCCTGCATGGAGAGAGGCACTGTGGTAGACAATTGTCTTGCTCAAAATACAGAACACAATGACCTGGCTATGTGGATGTCTCTAGCATGGTCTAGCATGCTTACTGTGAGGCTGTAGATGCTCCCATGCTAAAAATTAAACCATCCCATTTCTGTGGCCACTCAATAAAAATTTGACTGTACATCCTCCATGTATGGATATTTTCATGGGCTACCATATTAAAGGTCTCTTATCAGTATTTCTCATCTTCCAAAGCATATGATTATCCATTTTATGGTACACAATGGCATCCTGAAAAGAACTCTTTGGAATGGACCCTTCATGAGGCCATAAATCATTCTGAAGAAGCAGTAGCAGTTACACAGTATGTGGCAGATTTTTTTGTCAACCAAGGTAAGTGCCCTACTCACACAATATGATTGGCATTATTCATTCCCCATTTCTATGTATAATTACTTCTTCCTTGCATCACCTAACCCCACATTTATGCAGTCTTGGACAACAGAGTGAATCATTCCTTTTGAGTTCCCCTTAAAAGGCCAAATTTTCAGCAAGAAAGGTGTGTTAGCTAGAAATATTCCAAGGCTCTTTGTACCTAAAGGGTGATAGACATTTGGCTTAGATATTAAATCATGATTCCGTTCTCAGCTCGTCTAAGTGGACACAGATTTCCAAGCAAGGAGGAGGAAGATGCTGCGTTGATTTACCACGATAATCCAATCTACTGTAAACCGGAATTAACACACTTTGAGCAGTGCTACATTTTCTAGAGGCGCCTAATGGCTTGTGGCTTGTGCATCATCAAACCAAGGAGGTTTTGAATGTGTGTCCAACACGAGCTAAAGTAATTACTGTGGAATCGTTTTAGTGTTGGTTTCTTTAATTAATCAGACGCAAGACCATAAAAACTAGTAAATCTTGAATGGGTCATATATGTTAAAGGGCGCCTTTCGATCGAGTGGTGATGCACTAAACTTTAAGTAATTGCATGGGCCAATAATAAAGAAGAGAAATATGATAGAAGCCAGCGAGAATTCAAAGCGACTACATAAAATGTATGTAAGGCACAAGAAAAAGTGACAGAGTCGAGATGATTTATATTTACTTTTGCTTTTGATTGAGAGGGTGTCCCGAGATTTGTCTATACGCAAAAAATGTTTATTTTATAATATGTCCATTGTTTCTATGGTCACCGTGGTAGGACCATTTGGAGTTTAATTCGGCCAGTAATCATTAAGTGATCACAGAAAATTAGATAACCGCGAAATAAGGGTCCGGTTTGTTGATTCTGAGTTTGATAACTCACCGAATTGGACGGCACAAAGTCCTGTTTTTATCTCATTAAAACTATGACAACAAATAGAAGGGAAATACTTGTTGGTTAAACTTATTCATTAAAAATAATTTCCAGAATTTGTCCTATTTTCCATGTTTAAAATGAAGTTTATGATGCATAGACTGTCTCGTTGTTAGTTTGATGCGCACACTGTGCTATTTCTCTTGATACACCTTCAATATCCAATAAAATTCGAGAATTTTTGTTAGTTTTGATTACCATGAAGGTAAACCATTGTGGCGAGCTCCGGCTACAAGTAAGAAATGACATTTTCTTTTAAGTGGACACTAATGAGGCTTTAATTGGGAAGATCGCTTTTCAATTGAGTGTCATAGAACTAGACCCCAGGTGATTGCATAGTTTTGATTATGGGTAGGGGTTGGGTTTTATAAAGTTATATAACGTGACATACTATGGCTGAGTTAGGTTAAACAGAGTAACTTACAAAGTGCCATACCAAAATTGTAGTGAAATCATGTAAATTTACCGGCGAAATAGAATAATATTTTGTACGCTGTTGGGCGTGTTTTATATGAAGAGAATCGGAAGCTTAAGCCATTGACGCGGATCGCAACCCTTTTGCTGGGTTGCGGTTGAATGTAATTTGTATGTTGTTTGCGAATAAATATGAATAATTTTCTTTCCTTTTTATTGTGAAAGGCGGAAAATATCACGAGGGAGTATTACACCAATTTTATGGATTCTAAAATTTACGCGTAAAACCCCTTCGAATTGACGACGAGCATGTGCCACCTTACGTTATTACGATATATGATGTGTTGTTTCGACTAATAATCACGTGTCCCTCAGCCCAAGAGCAGGTTCTGCGTCACAAGCGTTAGGTCGCGAAGCCTGCGGGAGGTCCTCGAGCTGTCTGGCTCTCACTTCTCGAGCCAGACCCCCCAGCGGGAGGGCGCGATTTTTCTCGTGGACTTCGCTAGAAGCTCGCGTGATGTTGGTGCAGCAGCGTGTATGCTCACATGAAAAATTAGGAACCTATTTTGTAAAAACTGCCCTGAAATATTAAGCCTGACTTTAAAACTTTTGCCTCCATCATGCGCAATTTCCATGATTGTAATTTTGGTCAGCCTCGAAAGAGGTGGAACTTACAATCGATTTTTTGACACCTCCACTTGCTTGTAAATTACAGGGATGAATCCATCAGAGTCAGAAAAATGGAGCTCGATGGAGCCCTACGTTTTGACCTGAGTTACTCTGCAGAGTGGCCTCAATCACCAGTCACTAGGTCCACAATCTACGCGCTTTACTATGAATCTGAATTCGCAATAGGGGTTTTCGCTTTCCTTTCCCTTTTCTGCTTTCGCATGACACACAACATAAAAGTTCATCTGTTTTGATAACGAAACATCGAAAATGCCTCTGATTAATGCGGTGGTGCTTGTTTTGAGTACTTGTATGCTGAATGTTGTAATTGATACTCGGCCTCAGTTTCTCAGTTCACTCCAAGGGAAGGCACTCTCTCCTAAAGAAAAAACAGATCGGCCCATTATAGATAAGTCAAGATTTTATTATTTTAATTTTTCTCAATTCTAAATTGTCTATCACTCAAGAATGTTGCAAATTGATTAAAATTACAAAAATTTAACTAGACCCAGATGAAAAAACACTTCTGTTGATAAGCAAGCGGTTTTAACAGGTTTATTTACTTCAATCAACAAAAGCTTTACATCTCTCGTTTGAAAAGTGTTCTGACAAACATGGAAGTATCTTTCGTGGTCTCCGCAAATTAATTTTCTTCTATCACGTTTAACGCTTCCTTGGAAAGATTGACAAAACGCCAGGCAGCCATTTCGAAATTTAGCGTTCCTGTTTAATCACCTCGCGCGAGGAAAAACGTGTCACTATTTGGTTCCATTCTTTCCTGTGGAAAAAAGACACCATCACTTAGTTCAAACTATACACTAGTGAATTGTGCTTTGGAGCCACTAATAGCAAATGTATTAAACCGAAACATATTCTCTGTCTGTCGCAGCGTTCAGTGCCCAGATGAACACATGTCATGGTTTTCTCATGCTGGATGTTAGTTTAAGAAAAAGGTATGGAAGATGTCTAATATCAAATCAATCGGAGAATATCATGATCTATATCTTGAATCAGATGTTCTTCGATTATCGGAAGTGTTTGAAAACTTTAGAAACAAATGTTTGCAAAATTACAAGCCAGATCCATGCCATTACTTTACACCTCCTGGACTGTCATGGAATGCTGTGTTGAAGATGACCGACATCAAACTGGAATTAATGACAGAAATTGATATGTTTTTATTTATTGAAAAAGGTATATGGGGTGGAATCAGTTATATTACTAACAGATATGGAAAAACTAATAATAAACATATGAAAACCATAACAAAGATGAACCATCAAAGTATATTATGTATGTAGATGCCAATAACTTGTACGGATATGCCATGAAAGGTGGTCAAAGAAGAGCCACAGGTTCAATCTGGTCTGTGAAGGTCTTAAATATCGAAAAATCACTTGTGAATAAAGGTGAGCCTATTCTCTACTATCTTAAAGATGGACTAAGGTGTGGTTTCGTCAGAGAAGAGCTTGAGATTGTTCCTCCTCGAAATGAGTTACCTCCTAAAGGAATTCGCTGATTTGAGAAAAAACTATTAAAAATGCATCAAGACCCCCGTCGTTCAAGAGAATAATATTCACATTCTCTTCAGAACTCGCGAGTGAGACATTGTTAACCTGTGTAAAAAATTCAAGTTGCCTTGAAATCAAGGTTGTTTTGAAAATGTGTCAGAAGTGTTTTTTTTGAAATCAAGGTTGAAATCAACCTTGATTTCGAGATTAAAAAATTCATGAGTTGCCTTGAAATCAAGGTTGTTTAAAAATGCACCATGACCCGCTTTGTATATCTACTGGCATTAATAATTGTGTTTTTGTTTATTTCGCCATTTTAATCGGTAATGTAACCTCTATACTATTCTACAGACCTTGATCCTTGCCCACTCCTCCCCAATGGTCTTGATCCTTGCCCACTCCTCCCCAATGGTCTTGATCCTTGCCCACTCCTCCCCAGTCTGCAAGTTTTGTGGTGGTACATTGTCCATCTACATTTACACAATCCTTGTCAATAACCTGATAATTCTCAAGGCAAACCTCATATCCAGATGAGCTGATTATGGTCTGGGAATTTCAACAGGTCTTTATGTATACATATATATTTTTTTGCAAACTGCTGAGCAGTTTTTTTCTTTTTCTTTTATCCTGACTTCTGACGAAAGCACAAAGTTCTCGTAAAATAATTGTTGTTGAGTCAGTGATTTAACATTTTTTTTTGCTACAATGTGTCTCATTCTTTCAGAGCAATCCTTGCCAAAACACAGAACGCAACATGAAGACTTTCGGGCGAACTTATATTAGCGCCGGTTACATCAAGTACATAGAATCTGCAGGAGGAAGAGTTGTACCAATTCGGTATCCTTTGAACTGATTCCAAGAAAATAATAAAAAGTATATATGGTTCTTCCTTGAGAGATCATCAAACTTAATAGCAGTAATTGACAGAAAAGCTCCTCTGGGAAAATTATAGGTGTCCTAATTAACAGGCGCCCGTAAGCGAACCCAAATCAACATCTAACCCCAAATTAACCAACACATTTCCTTTTCAGAGAAGAGCACAAAACATTAAGTTCTTTGATCACAAAATTTCTAGTTTCTTGTTGTTTCGCTTGCTTCCGTTATTTTTTATTTTTTATTTTTTTTTTGAGACCTCGTTGATGGCTTTTTCATTCCCGGCCGCGTTTTTCTTTTGCGGTGTTCAAAACAGTCTAGTTTTCCTAATAGTCTCCAAACAACTGGTTGCGCTAAAAAACCGAACCAGTATTACACATCACAATCGGCCGAAACAGCTCGCTTGTTCAACTCCCTGCTCTAAGTAATGAAATAAATAGAGCTGTCAGTCGATAATGGGTTTCTAAGAATTTACTAGAAAATGTACTGAATTAATAGAACTATAGCCACTAATTTTGTCGATATACGCGCCACTCACCTTTTAAAATTTTTTGGCAGCTTCTGACGCAAATAAAGAGCAGACGTTTTTCACATAATAACGAATATGTAATGTATGTCAAGTACTACAGCTGCTTGAACCATTTTTTATATCATTTTTAGATTTTATTCGTTTATGTCGTTCATGTAATTCATTGACTTCTGAAATATGTATTAAGTAGAAATGATAAATATAGCCAAGATTGAAGAATATTATTTGTTTAATACAGTTTTGAAAAAAATACTTAATATATGAAGTACAAAAGGAAAAAAGGACAAAATGTTGACAAGTAACGTGGAGATTTATTGCCAAATGAAATTCCCATTTTTCAAGAAATATTCAGCTATTTTCAGATTTGTTATTTGCGTAATACAGAGTGACCGCTTTTTAGAGCCCAAATTGTGTTAATTTTTATGCTAACGCTTCACTTTGTTGCGTTATTATTTTTATTTCAGTTTTGGTAATAATATTTTTTAATATCTTACCTGACTTCTCTGCAAACATTTTTTTTTCTACTCTATCACGTTTGCAAACAATTTATTTTATCTTTTCAGACTCTGTAAACAATTTTTTTAAATATTTATCAAACCCCCCTCCAGAAAAATAACGGTCCGTCCCTTAATTTTTTTGCTAGTGAGAGAAAAAAATATATCACCGTTTTCAATTTCACTTAGTGGGTAGTTGACCGTATATAATCCATACACAACTATGAACGAACGTCCCAGTAACAAGTCATACAAGAGTCCTCGTATAAAAAACGAGCTCTTGTTCTTGCGCCAAGCATAATTGCATTAGGTAGATTTGACTGTATCTCTTTTTCTTTCTAGCATACGATTATCCGATCTTCGTTGTGCAGTGGCATCCTGTAAGAAACGCCTTTGAATGGCCTACAAAGGCGGCCATAAATCACTCTAAAGAAGCGATATTGATTACTCGATATATGGCGGATTTTTTTGTCAACCAAGGTAACGACTTTTTTTGTACTCAACACAGTCCTTTCAACCCCTCTTCTTTGAGATGCGCTTCTCGTTTTGTTCCACGTGTCCTGCTATGTGGAATAAAAAGCCGCCATCCTTAATCCATCCCACAATTCTCCGCGAAATTGATATCCTTGTATTCAAACAACGTAAGGCCTTCGAAGGGTGCAAGCACGTCGGTCTCGTTAGTTGTGCTAATTATTCTTGATAATTTTGGGTCATCAAGCCTTTTTCGATAAATCAAAATTCTAACTCAAAGATTACTCACGCAGTAAGCATTTTGAAGAACGAAGAAGATTGAGGTAGATTAAATAAAAACTTCGTGCTCATCTTTTAGCTGTCACTTTATTGCGGCGAGACATGACTTCTGGCCCAAAATGTTAAAAGTTATTTTGAAATATCAGAAATAATAAATTGAATACATAGAGGGTGGTGTACCTGTGGTTTAGGGATTGAAGTATATGGTTCCTTTTTCAGCTCGTCTGAATGGGTACAGATTTCCAAGCAAGGAAGAAGTTGCCGTCTTGATTAACCAGCATACTCCAGTCTACTGTGAACCGGACAGAACACACTTTGGGCAAAGTTATATTCTCTAGAGGCGGCTTTTGACTGGCAGATCATCGAGTGCTAAAGCGCTTGTGACATGGGTCAAGGCAAATGATCGAAAAAAATTTAAAGTTGAGAGCAATTTTTGAACAGAGTTTGGTAAAATAAAATGGTCACACTCTGGTTTTGCTGTTCCAGAAAACTCGCGCCACGCTTTCACAACCCACCACTGCATTGCCACATTTTTCTTTAAATAGCTATGTCATACTCTGTTAATGCACTGGTCACAACTGAAACCCAAATGGCAAGTTTCAGTCTCTAACAGCTCACTAATATTGTTATGTTAGTGAAAAATATGTGCGTTATCGAACAATTGTAAGGTCAATGTAGATGGATATTGACTACAAGTGTTCATTCGACTTCTTTCCGGTCCATTGAACCCATCATAGAGGACATGGGCTGATAATTCAGCCTTGCTGACCGAAAAAGCTTGTTCAGTAGGGGACTTATCACATGGACAACTATTAATATTTCGCTTTCGCATGCACAGAACAGGGAAGATAGTCCTCTCTTGCCCGCTCATTAGTTAATCAGAAAACAGGAATCCGTCTGCTCTTGTGATTATTCTGTTGAGACAACTGGAATTGCTTTTTCGTGACAAAAGCCACAAGCTAGTCAGCGTGAACAAAACCGTTCCTCTTCCACTCCTTGCCAATTCTGCCCCATTTCCTTTCTTTCCATTTGGGTGTATACCACTACTCAGGGTGCATCACGCATGCACCAACTGATTACAATAATAACCTTTATTTTCTTTTCTAGAGAAAAAAACACAATCGTATACATACGACAACTTCAATGAAAAATGTTATTCATTTGTGTCATAAATAATTTATAGTCTTAACAATCAAAATAAATACACTTTGGCAGAGTGCAAGGCTGAAATAATTATTGTTAGCAAAGCAGCAATTCGAACACGATACATAATATTAAAAAAACCGTTCTCGATAAAATAAACGCCATTTTGTAAAGCGAACCGACGAAAAGGGTGCTGCTTAACAAGTAATTTTTTGACCTAGTGTCTGAGTTTACCGGCACGCTGATATAATTATCAGAAGTATTCCAAACAAACAATAAATTGCATTAAGTTAACTCGTTTCGTTAAAAGATGGTATTAGTTAATAAATAGCCTTTCATTTCTTGATATAATCAATTTCGCCACCGAGGAAAAGCCTTGGTAAAGAGTTCACGGCAACAAAGTCACGGGATTTCAAAACGATAACTATTATCACAAACGTAAACATTAGAATATCCACAACGTAAGTGTTGAAGTTTCCTCAAAAGTCAAAACTTGGCAGATGCGATAACTTGGCGATAAGTTACCTTAATATCCGTTTCCTTCAACTGATGAAAATGAACGGTTAGTGAAAAGTTAAAGAGTCGAATCGTTTGGCTAAATCATGTTCGCATCGTGGTGAATGTAAAGTACACTTCCAGCGAACCAATTAATTGGAAACTTTCGTAGATCGAAAATTAATCCGCATGACAATAAATAAACGGTACTTCGATGACAGTACAAGATTTAACGAATAAATTTCTTGTTGAGTCAAAGTACTTTTAAAAAAGGCCATTCTAAACAATAACTAGTTTGCGCCGAACATCTATGCCAAAATATTGTTGGCCGAGTTACTTCTCGAAGCCGCCAATTTTCTTTGTCGCTGGCCGCTCTTTAAGTTTTTAATGTCAGATTTCCACTGTGCTATCAAGTCCGATAAAACACGCAGACCCTCTAAAATGCCATCTCCACATTCAGCCGAGGTCGGTTGCAGATGCCACAAATGATTAGAACTGAGATTATGAAGCGATAATTTAGTTAAAATCTCCATTGGGGCTGACGCGTTCGGTAAATCTTGTTTGTTCGCGAATATCAAAATCGGTGCTCCGTTTATTTGAGCGGAGTTAACAAGATTGAATAGTTCTTCCTTCGCCTCCTCTATTCTATCCTCATTTGCACTATCAACAACGAAAATAATTGCGTCCGTTTTCCGCACGTATGCCTTCCAAAGCGGACGTAGATGTTCTTTTCCGCTCACATCCCAAATTTTAAACCTTAAGTCTTTAGACGGTCGAACAGTTTCTACATTAAACCCTGGAGTCGGAACAATTCTTTCCTTCCAGTCTTTCCACTTACTTCGATACAAAATGGCAGTTTTTCCACTCTTGTCGAGTCCCAACATGACCACATGAAATGGTCTCCGAAACTTTATTCTTGGTCGAAAGCGACGGACGGAAACTATTACCGCATTTCCCATTATCCGTTCCGTACTCCTCAATCGTGTTAAAATATCGCGATATTCAAAATAGAGGTCACACTAGTTGCTCCGTACGAACTCTGAGAAGTAATTCGCCGCCTTCTCTCTGTTTCAACGGAAAGTCACTTGGCAATAATGCCAAATTAGGCGAAAGAAATGTTTGAAACCGAAATTCGTGCGTTAGTTTCGCATCAGCACGGGAGTGTACAACAAGTTCTCGTCAATTTCCACATCTGTGCGTACTTAATATAAACGAACCTGCTGTAATATGCAAATTTCCCTAATCTTGTGTATTTGTCAAATGAGCGTCTGATTGGTTCGTGGATAGAGGCAAAATTTGTTCATTATGCGTGGACAAGGCCTGAACAAGAAAGCTCTCAAGGGTCGCAAGGCAATAAACAATTAATTTACGCAATATTTCGCGGGAATTTCTGCACTCTGTTTACTATTTCCGTATGGCATGTCACGCCACAACAAATGTACGCATGACATTTACTTCATAATGAAGTAAACCTGTCTGATGCGAATTGGTTCGTTTAAGTACATGACCGAGGGCATTGCAATTATCTTAATTAGTCACTATTGATGATCATCATCTCATCGGAGAACAATGAACATGGAAACCGAAACAAAATTAGGTTGTTCCACCTAAATTGCCCCAAACTAAAAATATAAGTGTGACGCTGGGGAATATTTGGTACCCTCTGCTTCTGGAAGCTTTCTGCAATCGCATATAATAAAACCTCCATTTTAAGTTTATCTTCTACTGTTTAAATGGTTAGACCTTATCAGCTATTCCATCTGGCTTGAAAAAATTATTGCATCAAAAAACTTGCAATAGGGGGTGAAACTAAGTCTAAAAATACACATCTATTTGTTTTCCACTATTAAAACGTACCGCCTGAAATCATGTAGCGATGCATCACAATAATCTCTCCATGAGCTATAGTGTTAAAAGGGAGATTTTAGAAATTGTGTGTTGGTAGTTAATGAATCAAAGAAGAGAAAATGAATGTTCAAACCAAAGACAACAGGTGGTGGTCTGTGATAGCTAAAATATGTATATTTCGATGGTTTGCGATGATATTTAAGCAAAACAACTCATGCAAACCGAACTTGTGGTGCATAAAAGTATTTCTGAATACTCACGATGTAGAGTACAGTACTGTATATCTTTCGTACTGCAATTTGTGCAAACTGAGCTAAAAAAAATTATTTTAAGAGATGCCGAGAGTCTCATAGTGAAAGCACCAGACACAATAAAACTACATCGATTTGCGGCTCAGGGTTGCGGCTTTCCTGGAGACTGAAAACACCTGTTGTACTCTATTAGTTACTAACAATGGTGGAAAACGCCATACATATATCACTTGATATTTAAGAGCCGTCAATGAGCCGGCTCCTTTCAAAATATCCAAATTCAGCTTAATAGTAGGGCTTACAGGTTCAAAAGATGGACAAAGCTGTCCGAGATCTGCCATAAACCGACGGAAGCGATCGGAATCGAACGGAACAGTCCGAAATTAATCAAACGAATCAGAAATCGGACGGAACTGTCTAGAATCGGATAATACAGTCTTATATCAGGCGGATGAGTCCATAATCAGACACATCCAAAAAACACTTTAACTGAACTAGAGCCTCCATAAGAACGTAAAGTTCAAAAGGGCGGGTCATGAAAGCGTGCAAAATCAAACTAAGGCATCTGACAACGGACGGAAGCGCCCGAAATGGACTTACGAGTCCAAACTCCAGTGGAACCGTGCAAAATCGTGTGTAACCGTCCGAAGTCCTAAAGAAGCGTCGGGAATCGCACAGAAGCCTCCGGAATAAATCTGATGGAAAGACATGTTTCGCTTCTTTGCGATAGACGCTCCATCTTAGGTGATACGATTTTCTGCATATTTTTTGACAATGAACCTGAGATTAAATTAAAAGAAGAAAACAAATTATAAGAGGCTTATGTATTCCTTTATTTTTGAGTTTCTATGTTTTTGTCGACTTGTCCGAGAAGGGGCTTTCATTTTCTGTCAGAATAAAGTTTTTGTATTCGACAAATCATAACAAGGTTGTGCACAGTTAGGGGGGCTGTTAGTTATTTGAGATTCGGGTCTTAGCTAATCTCTAGCAGTCGGGTTGTCTAATTTTGGGAATACACGGTTAACTAGACAAGCACACTGACCTAAAAGAGCGCAGAGCTAGATTTTTCGTGAAGATTTCTTTTTAAGTCCTAACTATTATTAAACAAGTCTTTCAGTTTCCAAGGTACTTTATTGTCTGTTGTATCCATGTCGTCTGTAATCGCAGAGCCGCGTGCACAAGAAAGCGTGGGGTGATACCCTATTCTTGCAAATTGTCATCGGATGGGAAGTTTACTCTCTGATGAATTTCCGCCTAGTTTACCAGCGTATTACAACTTTAACTCTTTAAGAGTTTTAATTTGCAAGAACGAACCATCAGATGACAGTAGGATTAGGGATTAGGTAATTTAAGGGGCGATGTACTCCTAAGGAATGATTAGTGTCCAGTCTACCCACACTTGTGTCAAAATCAAACATGGCGGAGAATCTATGGCAACTGTGATTTCAATCAAAAGCGTCGCGAAGTGAGAATTTGTGTCCACCTAGTGATTTTCATAACATTTACATTAAGAGGCCATGGAGAAAACCATTCTGCTCTATCAAGATGTTACGTAAGCTCTTATTTGCAAGGCAAAGAAGGTAAAGTTTATCAGCTCGGAGAATTCTTAAGCAAGAGAGCAGGCTAGGGAATATATTTTCGAGAAAGGTAAACAAATTAATTCTTGTGATCTATACTTGTCTTCAACTCACGATTCGCCTTTTGTGAGCTGTTTACGTTTTCGTTCCATATGATGATGTTCAGGATAGGCCGAGATTGCATCTTGAAACATTTTCGTGCAGATTGTCATTGGAATTATCACTGCAATTTGCATGACCTCTGTACACATTCATTTAACGTCGTCATCGTAAAAGGCAAGTCAATAAAAGATGGTCAACTTTACAGCTGATGGGGCGAGTAATTTATGTGCTTTGGAAAATCACTCAGAAATTTTTCACAAATCCCTTTTATCCCTTGATTATCGACGGAAGTCGAGTCTAACTCATAAGTTCATTCGTCTTTAATCAAAATGAATCGGAGAGACCTGTGCAACACAACATAACCAGGTTCCTTTAGAATATTCGGTAAAGTTTCCGCACAGCCCCATACTATTGTAAAACAAATCTGTTTTCCCAATGGCAATGTATTGCTTTTGTCATTGTTTTCTTTATTCAAGAGCTGAATGCATTATGAAGTAGGGGGCTGTGCGGTAATTTTACCGAATATTCTCTTGAAGAATTTCAAAAAAATGCATTACGTTCGGAAGGCGTCTGCAATGACCGCAAATATTTGCTCTATATAATTGTAATTATCTTACTGAACACCTGTTTATACCAGTTTTTCCTCAGGGATCCACTGATCGGTCTTTTCAGTCTAAGTAAAGTAATTATTATTATCATTACTCCTACAGACATTATCAAAGTGAATGTTATTTAGAATAATTCCTCTTTTTGAAATATTATTTTGCAGGTTATACCGAGTTCATTAAGGATGGGAGATGATGATAAGCCCCTTCGCTTCACCATTGAAATCTTCAATGCCCAATTTGTAACTTCAGGAAGATACTTTTTGATTTTAAGAATAGTTGGAAGCAAGGTTAAACAGTCTAAATTGAAGCTATATGTGGGCAGTTCTGATGTAGCATTGGAGGATTATCAGTTTACTACAGATGCATGTTTAGAAGATGGGGATCCTGAGACTTTGGTGACCTTCACAGATTCAGTCATCACCTTTTGGATGCCTCCTGGTATGTTTATTGCTCTTTATCTATATTTGTCATCCATAGTTGTTGTTAGAAGCCAACAGATGAGGGATGAAACCTACCAGCTGTCAAAACATTTTATGCTGTCCTAGTGAATTGTGATCACAGACAGTAAATAGCTATGATTTGACTGATTCTAATGTCAATGTCTAACAAGGAAAAGTCACTAAAATATGTCTCAGAAAGCTAGAAATCATGTCTCTGAGAATTTCTAATATTTGGGGGAACACACCATTCAGACCTCTTCTAAAGTGTGTGTTGCTTTGCAACGCGCCATGCTTGGTATGCAGGATTTGGATTTATCTGAATATGAATTGCTTACAAGGAAATTCTTGAGGGATGTGGCAGTGGAGGCTTCCTGTCATTTGTGTGATGTGTACAGCCTTATACTTTGTCATGTAAAACTTGTTTTGTTCAAGGTGGCATTGAGTTGTAAACAAATCTAAATATTGGTTATATTGCTTAATAAGTTCAATTTCTTTTGAACATTCAATATCAGAGAGTGTGGATGGGGATATTCAACTTGTGATAGAAGCATATCGTCTTCCAGAGAATCCCATGCATGAAGGTGACAAGTGTGGGGAGGCCGTGTTTAGTGTCTTCCCTAGAAGGGGTGCATTGTTCTCAGGCGTGCGGCGGTCAACACCATCAACTAAAGATTCTAATGAACTATACCAGTTCGAGACCAACATTACACTGAATCAAGTCCAAGAAGATGAAGGACTTTGGATTAGTTGTGGTTCAATCAGGGCAGCTATGCGACTTGTATTTGAAGAGGAAGAGCAACCAAGTAAGCTGCATTTTAAATGCTTTTTAATGTAGTTCTGATTTATTGGTAGGTCAGTTGGTCTGGGTTGCTCTAAATGAGATTGAGGTAATCAGGTGTTGGTGCAAAATCCTGCTGTAGTTATTCTGTGGCTTTGCAGAAAGTTTTACCATTTAGATTTTGTGGAAGGAAAATGTGATTGGTGCTTGACATGTTTAAATAAAATTGTAACTCAAAGCTGAGTAGTATTCCAACACAAACCTGCATAGCTTTGCAAAGATATGAGAGCAAAGGATATTTTAAAGTGGATTGTTTGTTGTTTGTTTCTTAGCCAACAAATTTCAGTTGGAAAAATTGAGTAACATGGCCTTGTCAGGTAGAAACAGCTTACTTAAACAGCAAATAACAGCAGGAAGTTTAGCCAACTTGTTCCCAGGTAGTGAGTTTAAAGTACATAAGACTGGAAAAACTTTGGAGAAAGAGCATGCCAGCAAGGAAACATTGGGAGAAGACAGAGATGTTGTAGATATTCAGTTACAGGTTTTACAATGTGAGTATTATAATGAGACTGCATGCCCATTGGAATACAGATAGTGGATGGTTTTTAAGCATAATTTACGTAGTTAAAAAATTGGCCTTTAGATATTTGGTTCACCTTATACAGAATATCTACATCTACTGCGAATAATCTCTCAATTTTTCTGTTCAATTGATTCCGCTACTAGGTACTGTTAGCAAAATTTGAGTTGTACTTCTGTTTAAGTTAGTTTGAAATCTTTACTATCAGGCTGTACTTGGAGAATTTTTTTAGTACTTGGAAAAGGAAGGTCAATGTGTTGCCCACTTGAGTTCAGCTTATGAAGCTTAACTATATTTGCAAGTTTGGGTTTTTTGTGACTGAGTAATAGGTGTCCTGTGGTGACTATGTCTAGAATGAATAGAATGAGATTATGATAAATGATTTTTAGTGGTTACTACTAATAAAACAAAATTCTGCCAAAAGTTTTTTACAGTTATTGGTTTTCACTGGTAATCATTTATTGCTCAGTTGAGAACTTTTCTGGGTTGTTTTGAAACTTTTGAAAAGGCCAGCCAAAGTGTATATGAGTCTAACTGGTAATGAAAATCATTCTTGCTCAGGTTACAGCCAGCAAAGATCTCTGTTATGACTTTGTTTAGGTATACATATATATTTCTAGTTAGTTTATTGACTAAAGCTGCCAGGTTTTATTTCAAAAGAATTTAAATGGTTTTAGGTACTGAGTCCTTCATAGTTCAAAAACAGGAAGACGCAGGAAGTTTAGCTAACTTTTTACCTGACAGCAGAGAGGTAGAGAACAAAGACAGCAGAACTTTAGCCACAGATGTTGAAAATGAAGAAGTGATCTCTTTCTGTGAGTTGAAACAATGGCTTACTCAATTTTCTGTAAGGTTTATAACTACCATGGTATACTGTTTGGTGCTTTTAGGGAGCAGTTAGTGTCATTTACCGATGATTTCTGAGGGTCATCGCGCAGCAGTATTATTTATTATAAATAATATGTGGCATATCAGTTACAGTTGTGTTGAACAGAAAATTAACCTTTTTTAAAAGCCAGAACTTGTGTTCTAGGGGAAAAGGAGAATCATTTCAGGTGTGCTCCTGATAAGATGTCCAACCAACAAACAGGAAACTCAATTGATAGCTCAGATAGTCAGATAACAAGTGGCATAGAGTTAGACAGAAAGCTTGATGTAAATGAGGTGACCAATGATAAAGTAGAAAGATTTTTGGAAGAGAAACTGACGCCACCAGAAGTTGAGGGGAGTTTGTTTAAAGCAATGCAGCCAACGGTGGACCATGTGGACAAAAGTCCATTAGAACTTGCCACAGAGAAGAGAGAGTATTTAACTGAACAGGAACTACAATATGATAGCTGTAGATGGAGAACTCCAGATGACAGGTTGCGTTTTGTTGAAAAAAGTGATGAGGCAAGAGTCGCAAATGTGAAGGAAAGAGGCAACAGAGAAAGATTTCCATCCTGCACAGAAAGACAGTCAGGTTTCAGTATATATCCTGAAGTGATAATGTTTACATGTAAGGATGATGCACCACTCATGAAGCTTAGATCACTTGGTTTGTGAATTTTTTCAAATGACTATGATCAACACTGTGCCATTAAAAGTAATTGTAATAATTGCAAAAGGAACTCCATTTGGTATCAACAGAATGAAGCTTAGGAACAAAAAGCAGCGCTGAGCAAGTGGGAAGCTGAAAAGAGGCTTATGATGCTGTGACAGATTGTTTTTCCATTGTTAGAAATTACTCCTGATTGTGAATGTTTTTTTTTTCCTGTTAGAACCTTCTAAGAAGCCACAACCAATTCAAATTTCCAGAGAACCTAAACCAGGTCCTTCAACTGCACCAGATACTCCAGCAGGGTTTAAAAAAGTGAGTAACTTTTCTCCAATTTATGCTTTATTTAATGCTTTTTAACTCCCATGATCTGATTGTTAATTCTCCCCTCTAACTGACACACAATTCCTTGTAAATAGGTTATGAGAATTTGGTGTTAGATCAAGATAACAACTTCTTTCTGATAAGTTCGAGTATTCTCACTACCTGGTGGCTGGATAATGTACATATATTATAGGGAGAAGTTACAAGTTAATCACTTGCAGGAGTTAATGGGTTAAACAATTTTTCTTGTGCACTGACTTACATGAGGTTTTATTGAAAGTCTAAGGTAAGATGTGGGGGTCACTGTCAGTTACCTGTTTATTCTTGTTCTGTTGATGTCAACCATAAGATATTTTGAAGGCAGGTACCCCCATCCATACCTCTTACTCCTACCTCTCACTTCATGCATCCTCTTATCACTTCCTTACTTCTCATTCTTTACCTCTTCCCCCTGTTTCGCATCCCCTTTCCCTCACCTCTAACCTATAACCTTTATCATTCTCATGCCCTTTCCTCATGCACTGCCTACTCCCCATCCTCTTACATGTCACACAACCCTCCCCCCTGCTTCTTGCTCTTCAGCCTCAGCCACTCCCTTCCCATCACCCTCTCAACCAACTCAACCTCATGTCCTATCTCCACCCCTCCCCCCCTCACCTGACACAGTCACCCTTCAATTTAGTTGCTCTCCCTGACTCCTGACCTGTATTGTTTTTTGAGGGTTTATCATACATTTCATCCAATCAGATCCAGGAGTCTGCCCTTGGTTCACATGTTAACAGTATACCTGTGCATCATCTATGTGGAAGCAACACAGCAAGAGAAGGAAAATGTGAAGTAGCAGTTCTTATTCATGGTGCTTTAGGACTGCCAATGAAATCTGATGGAAGGGTTCCACAGCCATACATTGTGGGGTGAGTTGTAGAAACTACTGAGTGACTGGTAAAAGAACAATAGTTTGTCTGACATCCTTATATCATGTAACAGCTTATGATTATTTTATTATGCCATTGTTAGTGCTTTAAAAGTAACAATGGATATGAAGTCATTGCCAAAGAAGGTAGAAACAATTTATGTAAGTACTTAATTAACTATGCTAGGGGTTTTTGGTATACATGTACATCCACAAATTTGACTTTCATCTCCACCAAGTGATGTGGAAACACTTCACTCTCCCCTCAATTATGATCAAACAGTGTTATTCAGTCATGACAATTTATTCTTGTTACTAACATTGATAAAGGGCTATTGGAACATTTTGTTACATTGTTACAGGAAGTCCAGAAGAGCAGTGGCCCAGATGCAAATGGGACAGTCAGTGACCCATGCTGTCATTCAACCAACACACTCTCCATCTTGGGAGGAACTGCTGCTGATTGAAGTTAATGAGGATGAAGCTAATAATGAAGGTTTGTCTTACAAAAATTTCAAACAAGCTGTTAGCAAACTGGCATATACTTACATGAATACCTATTTCTTTTCTTGCACAGCTGTTATCTTGCTGGTGGCAGACCATCCCAGTAAAGAGTTACTGACAGAGTTTACAATGCCACTCAGTCATTTGAAGCCTTTTCATCAATATCATTTGGAATTGGTTCAGGTATTGTACACTGGTGTGTGTGAAAAGGGCATACTATTTATTCACAGATTTTTGGAAGAGTGAAGCATGCAGTTAGGCTTCCTGTGGCTGTTTTCTCAGCTCTGTTCTTTTACTCTGCTCAAAAGCTTGGGTGAAAGAGTGCTGGCTAGAGCTACTTGTTTAAAAATTGAGTGGTGTTTTGGTGGCCATTTTTTACTGATGTTAAGTGTCCTTAGTCACTTTGAGTCATGGAATCCAGGATAAATTTCGGCGATAATTGGGCCACCTGGATCCTTGTGCAGATTATTAATCTGTAGACGTTCATTTGACTCTTGTGCCTGGTTTTTTGTTTTGTTTTGCTTTTTTCAACAGCCCAATTCAGAACTTAGTGGTGATACAAGACTGTACATCACACTGATGAAGAAACTGGACAAGTTACCTCTTCCTTCTGTAGATGCAAAAATTTATGGCATAGAGGTAAAGCAAACATAAGAGAGTGACATTTGATTTTGGAGAGCTAGGCTGGTCATCTGCTACAATGTTGACTTTATTAAAAGGAAATCTCCTGCAGTGTCCACTTTTGCTTTATCCTAGGTATTACTGAGGGGTGTGGACTCACCCATTTTAAGTCAAATGGGTCCACTAATTGCAACAGGAAGAATTGTGAATGACTGGAGACAATACAAGTAAGTGTGTGTGTACCTGTACCTTTAGCTAAAATAATAACCATGCAATAACTGTCCTAATAATTTTCAAGAAGTAATCAAGTGGACAAAATAATAAGAAATCAGCAATGAATAGAGTGTAATGAAGTTACGGGCACCAAACATAAATGATAGCTGAATTTGAATAGAATAAACACAGAATACCAATATGTGTGATGATGATGATGACAGGAAATAACAACTGAACATGATGCCATAGTATGGTTAAACGACCTTAACCCTTTACATCCTAATATCAGTATACATATTCTCTATACTGTCCTCCATACAAGTCCAAGGAGGCTGACAAGGAGAATTTATTTAACAATCAAGAGCTGCTTTAGTTAGTGATCATCTCTTCTATTCTCATAACTTTCATGTTTAATTCAGGGGTGATATAGTGAGGAGAAATTAGATGCTAGTCACTCTTAGGGGGTAAAGGGTTAAAGAAGAAGTAATTATTCAAATAATTTGTTCTAAATATTTGTGACAAGTATATTTTTAAAGGATAAGCGATATGTAAACTATGAATTACCACAGAAATAGAGCACTCCTTTTACTTTTATTATCTTGCTCATTACTTTACTTCTCATTCATTCCTGATAAATGTTGTGTTCATCCAAGGGAAACCATGTTATCAGCCCAGCCCAGACCAGCTGGGATAACAGTCACCACCATTCACTTCCCATCTCCACACCCGACATCGTTTGCCATAGCAGGAACGGCAAATGAGTATGGAGCTCCACAACTGACAACCACTGCTGGGCCCCAGGAACAGCCTCAGTGGAACCAGACTATGTTTTTTCTAGGGGATAAATCAAGTTTATTCACTACTGAATCAGCTTTAGTTTTAGAATATTACCCAGCTTCACTAGGTAAGATAATAGTGATGCACTTGTGTTACAATTAGATACTGCTTGTACTTGTTTGTAGACAACACAACCTAGTGGTTACTACACTGTTCTCTTGTTATGACATGTGATTTTGAGACCTGATGAGGATTATTGTGATGTGTTCTTGGTCAGGGCTCTCTATTAGAAGTATAGGTGGGTACTGGTGAATTGTCAGGGAAATTTTTTGAAAGACTGGGACTAGCTTCCAATCTAGGGGAGAAACAATACTCTAAGATGTTATGGAAACCAAGTTGAGATGTGCAATTAATAGGCTGCTGATCCTTAAGACTTGACTTTTTCTATTTTGACCAATTGAAAAGGCTATTATGTAAATCATTTTCACCTGTTTATATTGATCACCTAATATTTGGGGTAGGAGTAGGTTGAGATAAGATAGCAATACACATAGCTCTTTATGTTATGACATTTGGTTCTGGTGTGGTAGGCTACTTGAATTTGTAAACAAACTTGCACATGGCTAAAACTGGTACTGTTGATTATATTGAACAGCAATGACCAGAGACTGTTGGCAGCTAACCAGCCCTGTTGGTTACTCCTACCAAACAATGGATCAGTTGCTGCTTTCCAGCTTGCAGTGGGACAGTGCAAAAATGGGGCTAAGGGTAGATAATCTGCCAGTTGAGGTGAATTTCTAGGGTTCTTTGGTTAACTATGTCACATATATGTAACCTTACTATAATGGTAACAAAGGGGTCATGAAAAATAAAAATAAATCTGAAGTGTTGCAAGGATTTGAATCTCTCACCTTCTGATTTTATCATGGTCACTTTCACAAAACTGACTACAAAATGACCACAAAATTAGGAGATTGAGGTTTGAATGGTTGTGGATTCAAAAATGTTTCCCTGTTCCACCTCTTGTGACAAGTGTCAAACATCTTTCCTCAATTAGTTCTGTCTGTAATATAAGAAAGTTTTAGATTGAATTTTTTAAGGCAAGATTCAAAACTGAAAAACATGGATCAATACAGTTAAACCTACATGACATGAACAAAAAGTTTAATAGTATGAATTAGGACAACCACTGTTAGCAAAAGTAATCTGGTTTTTTAATTATTTTCTTATTGCTTTACTCTGTTTTCCTATAAATTAAAGGGAGTTCTGTGGACCTTAAGTTCCTCCAGAGTCAAAATTTTTGTTACCAGGCACTGAGGAAAACTTGCTTGTTGTTGTTTTAATTTATGTTTTTAATGTATGTTTCTAGGGTTCCAATCTGAGAACTGCTGTTGGCTTAGGCCCCACCGTTGGAATGGTACTCAGACTTGTCACAGATGAGGTATGTAGAAATATCGCTGTATGCAGCTGGTAAAGAGTTCACACATATATATACTTTATGTCAGTTTTACTGACTGAGGAAGATTGATCAATTAATAGTTTTTGATTAGAAGATAGATGAATCTTCCGTTTATCAGTGCTATGAATTCTGTTTTAAGAGGTCTGATACCTTACAAGGGGGGAGGGGGTGGGAAGGTAGCAAAATTTCCTTTCGCGTCATACTTAAGAAACCAGAAACCTGGCAATTTGAGAAAATTGGCCCGTATGTAGACTGTAACTTTCCTTTAAGGTGTTTCTTATGGTTTGTTTTTGTTGTGAGTTGGTTACGTATCACACTAGTACAATTTACATTGAAATTGGTTTCTCGTGGTTACAGATGGGATCGTTTTGTCACTCACACATGCTTTTGTCTTACAGAAACCTGACCAGCTCTTGTCTGCCGCCCACTTGTCTTCATTACCAGTTTTCAGGGAAGGACCTCAAGCAGCACCTCATGATGAGCCTGTACAGGCAGAGAATTTCGGAAAAGCAGGACAGGTGGTTAATTTATAATCGTGAATTTGATTGGTAAAGAGGAATTTAGCTTAATTTTTTTCATAAGTATGACGCGGACAGAAATTTCCGAAGCCATAAAAGAAGTGAAACTAATGGCCTCTCCTCCCCTCAACCGATGAGATGCCTTGCCAGTAAGTTAGAGGGATTACACGCCTTGATGCCCGAACCGGCTTCAAAGTTAGCTGGTTTCCAGTTGCCAAGGCTAGATAAACATGACTCTTCAGTAAAGATACTACACAGAGGAAACATACGTTGAGGAACCAGGGTTAGATTCACTAACTTGTTTCTGTTTTTTCTTTCCAGGCACCTTATGGGCTTCCTCCAATGAATGCAGTCAAAAAAATGTTGCCACAATTTCATTCTTTATACACTGCGCCAAGAAATGAACCAGTCAAAGAATATGTGCCACTGGGGAAATTATCACCTCAAGAAGGGTGAGGCTTTAGTGAAGTATTTCACTGCTGGGGCAGATATAGACGATGCACAAGAAAGGGCTGACATATCATGGTGAAGGCATCACGTTACTTCTTTAAAATCTATCCAAAAGACCCCTCGTGATTTAAAGAAGAATTTAAAAAAAATGATAACAGGGGACAACGAATTCACTAGCTCCCCCTGTTATATCGGGTATTTATGGTGTGCTTAAAAGGATGTCAAGTACGGATGTTGTCGTCGTTTGAAATTGACTCTCGTTCCTGATCTTCAATTCATCTTTGTACAATCCCGGTACAATTTCCATGCAGTCACGAAGTGGTATGAATTGTTCTGTAAAATCAAAAACTGAAAAAAAAAATTTTTTTGCAGCAACATAAAAATATATTTACTCATGTACATCAGATGTATGGCAAACCAACCACCCCCATACCCCTTCCTTTCTTACTTTCATGGACTCAGTGAGGAGGGGGGATCTTTATGGTCTCATTGAGGCCAAGCCAAACGAGATTCTTTTAACTCGCAAGCTTCTTTTACGAGGTTTCCATTTGGTACTCTCTTTATTAGAACCGTTGATGCTTATGGGTCAAGCCAGATTCCTCCGGAGGTGAGCACTTTTTACAAACAGATTGAAGCTTCAAATCTGCTTTCCTTAAGTATATTATTTTGCATATGATCCCGAATATTTAAACAAGAAAGCAAAGTAACGCAAAGAAATGTAGTTAAATTACTATTGTAGCTCTGATGCAACACTGCATACTTTATTTTGTGTCTTGAAAGGTAAAATTTCCTTGATGTAGCAGTGTAACAAATTACCCCACACGACTGAAGATTATCTGTAACGGTCGAATTGGCCTCGTCTCGGTTATAGCAAGATGAACATCTTAATGCAATGATAGATTTATCTTGAACAGAATGCAGTTATGAGAATTTGATGTGGAAGTCTTTTTCTTTTCCCTTTTTTGGTTGTATGTTAAACGTTCCTTCATTTTAAGGTCAGAGGCAAGCTTGATGCCAACAGTCTTGCTGTCATGGATTACCAAATGAAGGTATAGGGGTAATTTCAGTATCCAAAAAGTAGGTTAAGATTCATTTTTCGTTATCGGTCATATCGATAGTGAACGTGCATAAATAAGCCGATGATTTTTGAGAAAAAATGTGAAAATATTTCCCATAAGTAGTGCCACATTCTCAGAATCAACAACATGAATGGTTGTTGCCATCAGAAAAAACTTTAAATTTCTAGTATCTCGATATACAGTATTATTAAGGAACTAAAGCTCACGTGTTTTTCAGACGACGAGGGTAGGCGGAAGTATAGAGTTCTTTTCCTTGGTGCTTGTTAAAGAGCTTGGTCGTTACTGTTTAGTTTGAAATGCTATAGCCGTGGCTTTTCAGTTTTCACGTTGATATGGAAGCACGTCAGAAGTATTTGAATTCTCCTTTCAGTCGCTGTTTGTGTCAGGAAAAAGATCTGTGCTGAAGTTCCATCAGTTTTAAGGATAGCATGGAATGTTCTGTAAAGGTCAATTTAAGAAAAGAATAAAGATTTGTTTTTGTAAAATACGTTGAGACAATATCATTAGCATTTAGACATGTTGCTTCTTGTGGGATATGCAGGAGGTGGATCGCTACAGGACGGCAATGAGAAAGATGGCAGCTGATCTCCTGCACGTGCGAGAGGATTGCAAACGTTTAGAGGTGATTAGTTGTATTAGGAACCGTCTTGTTTTAGTAAGTATAGTATAGTATAGTATAGTATAGTATAGTATAGTATAGTATAGTAAGATGAGTTGGTAATTTCAACTCGTTGTTTGCACAAGTCCAGCTCAGCGAAAACGTTGTTTTCATTTCAACCACTTTTTTATTCTAGAAGGCTTGTGTGCTTCTAGGTTGTGATAAAATTTTTAAATTATCAAGGGAAGATCAGGTTAAGTTTATTTTCAGTTGTAATTGATTATTTCAGGAAGCCAACAGTAGGCTGAGGAGAGAGTTGGGCCAACATGACGAGATATCCAGGTTAATGGTCAGCTCCAAAGACTTAGATAATGTGACACATTCTGAGCTGGTACAGAAGTTTGGTAAGAGTTACTGTACCCTTGTTCTCGGCCGCTATGAAGCACAACGTCGTCGTTGCCTAAAACAGTTACTGTAAAAGTTTTCTTACAATTGGGCGAAAGACTAATGAATGAAAAGCAGCTAATACTAAAATAACGATCTTGAAACTTTGTGTTTTACTTCAAGCCATGTTGAGCGAAATACATTCCTCTTCTTGCCTTGTAGCCCGTGTCCTTGCACTTGTTCTTGTTCACATGTTAAACCCTGTTTTTTATCACAGACTAATGCTGTCATTTTTTGTTTGCATAGAGCAGTCGTGTTAGTGTTCTCTAGCAAATACTATGAAATGCTTGACTGGGTCTTCGTGTTTTTACTGGTTTCATTCTGCCGATGACCGACACCACAACATAACTTTCTACTTTTCGAATTTTCGCACTTGCAGTGCTCCTGAAAAAGAAGTTGGCAGATGAATCCGCAAAGAAACAAGAAATGAAATCAAGACTTCAACACCTTCAGAATGATCTTATCAAGGTGGCTTTATATTGTCCCTGATTTACCCATAAGATCCGATAAGTGATTCTCAGGCCTTCTAGCAGCTGCTATCTCTTTCCTTATCGTTAGCTTGTTCATTAACGTTTTGAAATTATTAGCAATGACATGTCTAATACTTCTATACACAAAAATCTACATTTGAAAGATTAATCTCACCCAGAATTTGTATGAGATATACTGACGAAGTTATATATTTACAGAAAAATGAGATGGAGAAGGATTTTTTGAAACTACAAGAAGCTCACGAAGGGCAACAGGCACTTCTACAAAAGTTGCAGGTGAGCGGGATGTGCTATAACAAATAGATGTATAATTTTGTTAGTTCTTGTCGCATTTGAAAAATTAGTGCTGGTAATCTGTGAACATAACTTAATTCAACGTACCGTAACCTAATGGTGTCAACCCTAAATAACGTGCATTTTAAAGAATGCTGTGTTCATTCATAGTCTAGAATTGCCATCGTGATAACTTGCCGTACTTTTCTTGATGATATAGTTTCCACGACCTGAAAAAGGGATGGAAAAGACATATTAAAGAAAAAGTGCTAGAATGTTGCTTGTAAACTTTGTAGTGTGGTGGAATTTCTCCTATTACCGTGGTCGAAAAGTTCTGTCGGTGCAATTGTAGGGTCCAATTTTCTTTTAAACTCCCACAACCACTCCACTGCTCCACTCATTATTCTGGTATTTAATTCTACTTGTGTCACCGTCTTTTGCTCACACATGTACAAACTCTATGTTTGGGTGGAAAAACTGATCTCGATTTTCTTCGCTGGCAGGGAAAGGTACAAAAGGCACAGACGATTCAAGATACCTGCAAGAAACAAGAAAAGGTGAAAAACCATCGAGCGAGTTTGTGAGACTGAGTTGTGAACCTTCCAGACAAAAGGCGACAGTTAATGTTTAAATACGCATCCCTTGTAGGTTATTGTACAACTCGAGCAGCTTTTGGCCCAAAAGGGAAAGGGACCATACAATGGAGGTGAGTTACCTTTGAAATCTGTACCTGTATATCAAGGTGAATTACATTTGTTATCAGTTTATAATAAAGAAACTTGTACGAGAATGATTATAAAAAAAATACTTGTGTTACAAGGGCGAGTCCAAAGAGGCAAAGTTATTAGTTTTCAGAGAAACTATTCCGTTGCAACGAAAGGAGTCTCGGTTTCAACTATGCACACAGAATGATTGTCTTCGGTTGGTAGCATAAAGCGAAACTAAATTGATAGCCGTTGGAGCAGAAGATCACATGCGCTTGGTATCTCATCCACACCTACCACACCCTTATACCCAACATGATGTTACTTATAAGGCAAATCATAACTCGTCTTTATTCGACGATCAAGCTCAAAATTTACCATCTTTCTGCATATATTTACCAACTATAATCTCCAACTAGTCTCTATAGAAACTGGCGAGACTTACAGAAAACTCAGTGAAGAGAATATCAGACTACAGGCAGAGGTTTTGCAGTACAAGGTACTCATAAGTTTTATTATAGTGTTTTTTAGTTTGACCTGTTTTGGAGATGCTAAACACGCGGAGGGGACACTTTTACCTTGAAAACACGCACACATTTGAAGCAGTGGGATAAAACAAGGCCTGGATAGCGCCAAATAAACCTCTGAATGTGTTGTAATATATCGAAAATGCCCTGTTTAGTTTGAATAACGCTCATTCTTCTGAAAACTACTTTAAGATATCAGTGCTCCTTCCCAATCCTCTATCTTTTAAACGCCCTGTGCGTAATAATCGCCCCCCTTCCTCAGGGAGGCGGTCAGTGGACCCCATAGCCAGAAGCGTTCTCAGCAAGGTATGAAGAGCACACAGTCACTAAAGAAATCAATCGGTTGACACCTCTGGCTCTTGGTCAATTAAATTAAGGGAATGTAAATTGCGCATTTTGTTCCATCTCATGTTCAAAACGAGGATTGTACATTTTGCATTTCCCAGGAGCACATCAAAATGGATCAGTTTACTAAATCCCACTAAACCCATCGTCAAACTCACTCTATTTCCTGTCAATATATATATATTGTAATATATATTGTAGGATATATATATATATATATATATATATATATATATATATATATATATATATATATCCTACTGATCAAATAAACATGGTTTGTGTCCACTGAATTTTTCGGTGGAAGGAAAGCTACTAGATAATTTGTTTTTCTCTCGTAATCAGGAGCAGTTGAAGGCAGCCGAAGCTAAGCTGAAGAAACCAAGGTATGTAACTTAATTTTTCAGTACACATGTACTTTCAGCCATCTTACATCGTTCGGTGATAATCGGTCTCCATCCACTTTGGAGAACTTGTCTGTGTGAGGTTGCCAGTCGGACTGCGGCTTCAGCTAGAGATAACGTTTTGGACCCTACTTCTAATCCTCTGGATTCGCCGACGAAAGCGGCTCTTTCATCTGTTGGGATCGTTAGTTTTTAAGAGTCAAAGTGATTAGAAAGGGAATAAATGTCTGGGAGACTGTCACGAATTTACCATGGGAACTGAACCTTTCATGAAACTACCAGTTGAGGAGGATACGTAGTGGTGACTGACTGCTTGTCTGATTTTGTTTCAGATCACCAGGAGAACAGCGAGTGGTTGGTGCAAGTGTAAGTGCGTCACTCTTGAATCAAAGGCATTTTATTACTAGTTAACTGGTTTCTTTAACAGGGAAGTGTTCAGTTAACACAAAGCTTTCACTGAGAGAGCCACGCTATGGATGTGGTTTCCAAATGTTTCGGCTGCCCATTAATTAGTGGAAAAAAACAAGTTCTCTGCGAGTGGCGTAAAGTTTCAATTGAAAATTTATACTGGGCCCTTGGCTAAAGATGATTTTTGAGTAAGTCCAAGGTTAATACGTAGTAATTTTGCCTTGAAGATCGAGAAATCTTCTTAGCCATAAAGGCAGATGGATGATGAGTTTTGAGAGGGGAAATCTCGATCACTCCATGGAATTCCCATTTGTTCACAGGACAGTAATGATTACAGTAGTATAAACACTTATAGGGAAAGAGGTGTAGGATGAGATCCACTTATTTTTTTCATTCCAAAGGTTTTATTTTCGCCGTTGACAGAGTTCAAATGTTTTTAAAACATGACGAGACTTGCATTGCGCAAAAGTCTAATTGAAATGTCTGTTTGCAGAATGGACCGATGTCAGACATGGAACGACTGGAACTTTTTGAAAAACTAGAGAAAGCGGAGGGACGGATTGTTGCTCTTGAAAAACAGGTGAAGCACTCAGCTGCATTGTTTCACTTTTTGGAAGTGTGGAGGTTTGCTTTATCTGACATTTCATAAGGTGTTCAAAGTTTTTTTTTATTGAATTGTTCATTTTATCCTTTGCTATCCTCTGCTAAGTCCACTCAGTCATTCGGGTGGGAAGACAAGAAAACTGTCTGATAGACAAATGAATAAAGGGGGTAACTTTCTAAAGAAACTGGTGCTGCGTCGGTGGGAGAGTATAGCAGGTAATGTAGTGTTCACAACTAAGTTGAAAGCGTAAATTGGCCACCATAAAGAGTTCAAAGGCTGACGTTTCGAGCGTTTCTTGTCGCTCTGACGAAGAGCTAACGCTCAAAACGTCAGCCTTTTAATTCTTTACGGTGGCCAATTTACGTTTTCAATTCAGTTGTTAACACTGAATTGTCTGGCTGGTTGGCAGGCGGTAGGCCGTCAGACAGACAGACAGACAGACAGACAGACAGACAGACTGACAGACAGGCAGACAGTCGAACGCACAGACCAACAGGCAGGCAGACAGACACTTACACAGAAAATTAATATCTGGTTAAAAAAAACTGAAAAAACAGCGCAGAGATGTAATAAACTTAATATTATCTAATATAGTTTCCTCGGTTTTCCTTGCGTTGTCTCTGTAGTTGGCAGATAACGTCAGAAAATGGGCAAAGGATAAAGCCGACCTTCAGGTGACTATTTTTCTCATCTTGGAATGACAGTGTTGGCACATTTTTTTTTTTCGGTCTAAGAAATCTTTTGGTCCACCAAGTCTTGGTTCTCTATATCTATCAACATTTAAAGTTACCTATCTATTTTCTTTCCGAGGCGTATATTGTTTTAAAATTACTATGGATAGTATCAGTTTTGCCGATGTTCCTTCCAAAATGGAAAGGAGAAGTCAGTGATGATGTGTTGTTTGAGTAGCTTTGTGTTTTATTTACGCAGATGAAATTAAACGAAAGTCAAGTCGCTCAGAGAACAGGATACAAAAATTCGTCCACTTCTGTAGATATTCTGGACTGGGTTTGTATTAGTTTCCTTCTTCTTTTTCTCCAAGTAACTTTTGTAAGACTTCAAACTAAGTGGTTGCAGATATAAGAGAAAAACTTGTGTCTGAATACTGCCTCAGTATTGTTGTGAGTGACCGTGATAGTGCTAGTATCTCACACATATTCATCTCAGCTGGAACATGAGAGCCCACTTTCTATCCTGGCCTTTGTTCTGTCTTAACTAAGTGGCAATACACAAGAAATTTGTTTCCTTGAAGATCGGCTTGTTCTGCTGATCGATAAATAAAGTTATTGTTGCATATACCTCATGCATTTTTCTGTCTAGTTAGTATGGCTGTTTGGGTAAACAATACGTATAGGGGTGTATGAAAAAAGTTAACAAAAGCCAGGGCCGAGATCTTGTGACGAGAACGTTACCCCTCTATATACTATTAACTTTTAAAGATTAACGTAGAAAACCTTACGTTATGAAATCCAGACCTTTAGGACCAACTGTAAATCCACACCGATGTTTAGAGTTTTCATTATTCCACAGCATAATGGACCAAAGCCAAATTCACCTTCAAGACACTTGGGTCCGCGACGACCGTCAACTAAACTGGATCCTTTGGAGAGAAGATAGCATTTAGAACTTAGCCAGTCTTAGTGGATTATTTCATGATCAGAGGACACTGGGCTCCAGCTAGGCAACAACTATCCCGAACGCCAGTCCAAGATCTGAATATTAATTTTCCTGACTAAACCATGCATTCTTTGTCGAGTGTTCCTCGGAATTTGTTTTTATGTCTAGATAGTAATCCCCGACTTGATTAGAGCGCTTTTCAATCGAGTGTCGTAAATCCAAAACCAAAGCAAGAAGAACTACCAATCAGAATCAAAGAAACAATCGCAAATAGGAGCCAATGAGTGCTCGAGGCAAAAACAAGTAAACTGCCCGAAGAGCGGGAAAACACCAGTCACCAAGTTAAGATTGGTTTTTTGCATCTGATTGGTTGAGAGGATAGCACAAGTGTTCTTTACCAATCACAGAGCGAAGTAAAGCAAAACCAAAAGTAATCTCGAATGTCTTTCGACTCTCAATTGAAAATTGCTCTGTAATTCGACCATCATCACTTATTTTCTAAACCTCTGTGATGTTAATTTACACAATTATAGGAATAGGAGGTTAGTTGAGCCGTCTTTACGAGAGGCCATACGAATTGTTTTGTCAAGAATTTTTTGGGACTCACCGAAAATTCCTTAAATCTAAGAAATGGCGGGTTAGAAGTTGAATACATTTACGATCTGTGTACTTCACTACAGTTCTCTAATAACAACCGATTCACCATCGTGGAAGTCGGGAATAATCATCGTAGCGGGGAATGTTTCATAAAACTGAATTCCCAAAATTCGCTTATTGAAAGTTTTTTCAGGCTCTGAAGAAGGGTGACATGACGTCAGTTCTGAAACATTACGATTGATGTCATGGTTATAGTTTCTTCCTTATAACTCATTAAGTTATTTTCTACAAAGTGTTCAAATGTGTTCAATAAAAAAGAAAATCTGATGAAGCAAGTAATTATCCATCAACTAAAGAATTGGATGGGGTTGAGAATACGAAGTAAGGATTAGAAAAATACATATGTTTATTATTATTATTATTATTTCTATTATCACTATTATTATTATTAATAGTAGTAGCAGTAGCAGCAGCACCAGTAGGAGTAGCAGCACCAGTAGCAGTAGCAGTAGGAGTAGCAGTAGTAGTAGGAGTAGCAGAAGTAGTAGTAGGAGTAGCAGGAGCAGTAGCAGGAGTAGTAGCAGTAGCAGGAGTAGCAGTAGCAGTAGCAGTAGCAGTAGCAGCAGGAGTAGCAGTAGCAGCAGGAGTAGCAGTAGCAGTAGCAGTAGTAGTAGCAGTAGCAGTAGCAGTAGTAGTAGTAGTTGCGCAATTATTTTTCCCTCTTTGTGGACAGCCGTTGTCGTTGACTGCAATGATTTGTTCATTTAGGCTGTACCATTTCCGATAAAACTTGTTCATTCGTGTTTCGTGTATCTACTAAGTCTGGTCAACTAGGGTTAACAGACAGTTTCTTAATTGTCCAAGCCATTGATCTTTCATTTTACCAAAGGCGCGTGGTTCATATATCTTTCTTTTATTTACAGTCTCGTACACCTCATGCTCTTCATACCCTCCGCATCAAGTAGATAGCGCAGTAAGTTTTGCTAACACATCCGTTGGATAGTGTGATGCGCCTTTTGAACAACTGAGCTCTGAATAATTTACAATGAACAGACGATGATCGTGTAATATTCTATGCAATAGCGTGTTGTAAAAAAACTGTTGAAATTCTCGCGCAGTCATTGATCTAGGGCCATTTTTATTATAAAAATAGATTCCTCTCTTCAATATTAGATCATAGATGACGTCAAAATGTGTGAGAACAAAACAGCGGCAGAGGCGTAGCCGAGGCCCCTCCGAAAATAACAAAATTTTAGACCAGCATTCGGCTTTTATTCAAGTTAAAAAAAGAATATTTCTGAACACGATGAAAGAAAACGCCAAGGACAGAACAACGATCGACAAAATGTTTCTTTCAGGGAACTATATTCTACGTTGAGCATATCCGATATAATTATTTGATAGGCTACCTCGGATCTTCGGATACTTAGACTATGAGAGACACGAGAGGATGTGCAAACTTCTGTAAGTTTCTTTATGCAGAGAAGTGAGATTGATCGTTAACATGATGTGAAAAGAAGTACATAAATACACATGTCCGAAGATATCGAAACGGTTACCAGGCGGGCAGACATCTCGCTTCGAAGCGTCCACATTTACATGGATCCCTGTTGAACCGCTGAACAGATCGTGGGTTACATTTGTAGGCACAACTTCCATATTCATGGGCGTTTACGATTTGTCTTCTGGAGTGTTTCTGACCACATGCCTTGAGGCTATTAGATCTTTCCGAGTAATAAACAAATGCATCAAATAAGCAAGATGGAGTCAGACGTGGGTTGTCCTTTGGAACTCCCGCCGAATGCAGTATTTAGGGGATTGAGATCTATATATTGGTGAAGGAAAACGCAGCGATAATAACCATGTCGTCTTCTGAAGCAGCGAATGCTGCAAGTAGCCACCAGGAGCAGAGAGAGCAGAAGGTTCTTGATGTCATGTTTCTCTGCGACGAATGGAAATCTTCGAAGGGTGGATTATCGACTTTTAATCGAGAATTTGCCATTAATTTGGCAGAAGCGACGACTGGTAGCATGAAAATCCACTGCTATGTCTCTAATAGCGATGATCGGGACAGAGAAGATGCTGAACAACATGGTGTCAATTTAATCACAGCTCGAAGTGTTCCTGGTTCAGCCGACCCCCTCGAGTGCTTGAAGTTTCCGCCCTCAAAGCTCCCAAAGCCACATCTTGTAATAGGCCATGGAAGAAAGCTGGGTAGTCCTGCGTATTCCCTTGTGCAGATTACAAAGTGTAAATGGATCCAATTTGTTCACGTCTACTGTGAGGACCTTGGGAAATATAAAGAATCTGCCACGGCTGCAGAAGATACAATCGAAGAGAACGAGAAGAAGCATAAGATGGAAATTGAGTTGTGTGAAGCAGCGGATGCAGTTGTCGCCGTCGGCTCCCGTCTACAACGGAAGTACAGCAGACGTCTCCTTAATGTTGAAGTGAAGATTATCACTCCTGGGATTTTTGGAAAGTTTACCAGTGAATCAAAGTTGGCTGTAGACAGATCGGTAGTAAAGAATTTCAACGTGTCTATGTTTGGCCGAGCTGCCTTCGAGGATCTTTCCCTGAAAGGCTATGATTTAATTGCAAATGCCATTGGTTCTCTTGGTAAGAACTTTGAGTTGACATTTGTTGGCTCATCTCCCGGTGAACAACGAAAAGTTGAGCAATGGTTTCTTGACAACACGTGCATCAACCGCAACCAATTAACCATCCGTCGATATTGCAGTGAACAAGAGGAACTCAAGGTGATGTTCTATCAGTCAGATTTGGTTGCTCTGCCATCCCGCACTGAAGGATTTGGGCTTGTTGCCCTCGAAGCCATTTCTGCTGGTGTTCCTGTTCTAGTCTCTGGTGAATCTGGCATAGCTGAGGCTTTGCAAAAAGTAGAAGGTGGAAACACTGTCATTGTAGGATCAGATGAAGATGAAAGTGAATGGACACGAAGGATTAGAGAGATGTATGAAGAAAGTGCGGAAGAGAGAGAAGCCAATGCTGTGAAGCTTCGCGAGAACTACAGGAAGGTTTACTCTTGGAAAGCAGAATGTGAGAGGTTTAAAGGGCTGATTGAGAAAGTAGTGGAAAATGGTATGTTCAATGGTTTTATCTTTGCTTAAATTTTAGGTGCAGGTGATATTGCTTTAACCTACTGTATTTGGAAATATAGAAACCTTGTGTAAAAGACTAAATGCAGGTACATGTAGATAGCACAGCCAGATTGCATGATTTATTTCTGTTAATGTTTTGATATGAATAAACCAGCTGTAACAGTTCCCTTTCACTCACTATTAACTTTTTCCCACTTTCTTGTGTCCTTGCAGATATGAAATTTGTCATGTTACACAATTTTGGTGTACTAGGTACTATTCAATTGCAAGATTGCTGTGTGATTTCAGGTTTTGGGAGAAGGGACACTGGTGTAGCAGCCCTCTTATAATGAGGACCTGCAAGCAGACTATCATCCAATATGTTTGAAGTTTAAGGTGATATTAATGGTTTTGAGTGGATTTGAAGTACAATTTTAATTTAGGCACTTTGCTCCAAATCAACAGATCAAAAATTAAAAATCAAGGTTGATGTGGAACACATGAAACTTGGAGATCATAATGCTTACAGTACAGCTTCAGTTTCAGCACTGGAGCCAGCAGGATATCAGAAGGCATCCATAGCTTTGGGCACAAAGAGAAAAAGACAATCTGATACAGATTTAGAAGATCTCCTACCACTTGAAAAGAAAGTCCTGTGCTCGATTGCTATGAATTACCTTAATACTACACCACCACAAAGCAGGGATGAACGCAATGAGTTTCTGGAATTCTTAGAAAAAACTAAGGTACTCATTACAGGTGTTTCTGTAGGAAGTTTGGTGATAACAGTAAAGTGCGATTCTCTCAAGAGCTTGGAGGAATTATGGAGAGAGTACTCATGCAGCCTTTTGGGTAAGATGGTTCAAGATTGTTTTGTGACAGAAAAGATCTTGAAGGAACTGAACCTGGCAGAACTGAAGCTGAAAACAACAATGGACATAGAAGAGTACAATGCATGCAAATTGTACTTTCTCGAGAAGGATGCACTCAGAGGTCAGTTGAAAGGAAGAAAAAGACCTGATCCTTTGAAAGAATGTTTTGAAATGATTAAAAACACAATGCATTACTCATTCAACATGGTGCACCATAGGGTTAACACACATGTAGAAAGGAGTTCTGCTTTTGATCAAGATAGAACCAATTGTCTCATGAATAAGCTCATGATGACTATGTATACAATGACAATCTGTGGCTAGAAGTGATTTGTTTTCAAGAAATTTCCTAGTATATTTTCCTTTCTGTCTGGTTGTATCTCTCTTTGGCTCCAAACATAAAATAAAACAAGCTAAAATAAAAATAACAATTGGCAAGCTTTTTGTTGGAGGAGCTATAAAAGAAAATGTTAGCTGTATTTGTGTGTGGGGTTTTTATGAAAATGATTTGAGGTGTGTTGTATGGTTTTGAATGTCAGTATTTAGTGCTTGCCTCATTATTTGTTTTGTTGTAAATCTGATTTTAGGTGCTTTATCTTCTGAATTCCACTCCACAAGTTCAACCAGTAAAAGTCTACAAAAACAAGAAGAGCTGGAAAAATGGAAACAGAAGACAAAGATTGTTGAGACAGAGAAACTGAAAGGTGAAAACAAAATTAAAAGAGGTGTTAAGTTATTGTAGAAAGTTGTTGTGAACAGTAATAACAATTTATTAGTTGACAAAACTTTGAAGAATTATCTCAATGTAGTAATGTGGCATAAGTATTCCTTTAAAGAGCACAAGTTGTGGGAAACAATGTACAGCATATCTGAAGAGGGCTGTGAATGCTAATCTCTTTGTGCACTTTTTTCTCTTAGGAATTTCACCCCTCACAGTAGAACCCACTACTGGTGATGGAAAAGAACTTATAGAGAAGGAGCAACAAGGGAAAGGTGAAGAGGAAGCTCAGTTTGAATTAATTTCTAAAGTGAATATGTTCAGTGTGTTCAGCTATTATGTCAAGTGTAAAGAAGTGTGCTTTTGGGATTAAACATTTAAGGTTGCTAGGGTCTGTAGGGTAAAACTAAACTGACAATTATTTGAAATACTTTCAGTTCTCATTAAAAAATTAATTTGAAAGAAATTAAAACCAAATTTAGTTTTCTCTAAGGGATGTTAAGATGGTAGTGGCTAGGGATGGTGAAACATCACTTATTATAATAAAATTAAAATCATAATCATAATAATAACAGTATTATAATGGTATAATACAGGTTTTTTCAACCTTAATCATAAATTATGTATTAAAAAACTGACATTGATGATGTATTTTTGATAAATTTCATGCACTTTGTACAGATTGCCACATGTTGGTTTAAGTGTGTTATCATCTCTCAGATAAAAGTCACACCATGAATACTAATATTGTTGTAAATAATGTAAAGTAATGTAAATTATTACAAATACAATTGTGCCTCTTTCTCTGCTTACGTAAACCTGAAGGGAATTTGAGTTGGTTTGTGGAATGAAAATGATATACATAGGATATATATGTGTATATCAAATTGATGTTTTCAACAGCTTTTTCAAATCTATCCTTAGCCTCAAGTTGGTATGCCTGTTTCTAACTATTTATCAGTAGGAATACTAGTATCTCTCTATACCTTTGTTTTTAGGGATGTTGCCTCTTCACAGATCTTCCACCTCTGATCCTGAAGAAAAACTAGAAGAGCTACGTACGAATCTCAAGAAACAACTTACTTGCTCGATTTGTCTTGATACCTACACCGAACCTAAAACTATATCATGTCTTCATACATTTTGCTGTGAGTGTTTAGAGAGACATGCAAGAGTGAGCCAGAGACAAGGGAAATTCCGATGCCCTGAGTGTCAAGTAGAAATCAATTTACCAGAAGGAAATCGCTTTGACTGTTTGCCTAACAGCTTTTTGCACAAAAGTCTGTTAAGTGTCCTTCAAGCAGAAAGTTGTGAAGGTGAATTGTTGAGTAATTAAATCTCTTGTACAGAACTAAATGGAACAAACTAAATGAAGTGCTAATTGAATGGTTAAATGATGGAAAATCAGAAATCAACTCATTTATTTGTACTTTTCCTCTTAGATACTTCACCCTCCAATGTATCACTCACTGCTGGTCACAAAAAAAAATGGGAAGTAAGACACAGCACTGGAAAATTTCAGGAAAAGGAAGGTGAGTGAAAAGATATCTGGAAGCTAAGGATTGGTTGCCGTACTTTGGATTTGCACAAGCGTCAAGTGCACGGTACTGTAGTGGATACAACTCCGGAATTTTATCAGGCATTTTTAATTGTATCCATTTACACCCTTGATGTGATAAGGCCCTACAATCGTTATATCGTGTTCTAATTCAGAACACAGTGTACACATGCAGTTTGTAACTTGAATTTTGTTTGTTGAATGTTGAGGAGCCTTTGAGTAAGTCATCTCAGAGTTACGATGCCAGAGGTTATTAACTTTACCATATTAGAGAGTTTTAGATCCACGTTTGGTGTGTTAACTGCAAACCTCAAACTGTAGTTAGCGGTTTAAGGGAAGGAGTTTGAAGTTTCGAGATTTTCAGCGTTTTAGATCGACTACGGTGTGTTAACCCCGAACCTCAAATCGTAGTTAGCGGTTTAGCTTCACCATATTAGAGAGTTTTAGATCCACGTTTGGTGTGTTAAACGCGAACCTCAAACTGTAGATAGTGGTTTGAGGGTAGGAGTAAGAAGTTTCGAAATTTTCAGCGTGTTAGATCAACGTTCGATTTTCACGCAAGTCTTATTCCACAAGCAGCCAACGAAATGGAGGCATACTTGAGAAAAATCAAGAAAAACAGCGATGTGTTTTTCATGCTAGGGTTCCATTCAATTTCAATTAAACAGAAATGTTCACAGATCCCAAAATCGGAAGTACCAAATGTGGCCTTAATTTATTAGATTACATCCATTAATCAAGGGTTAATCGGCAAGAATTTTGTTGGAGGGGCCAAGAAAGAAAATTTTACTCCTTTTTGCTTCTTGGGTGGTTTTAAAAATAGTTTGAGGTGCCTTTATGGTTTAGAATGTTTGTCCTCTTGTAAATCTGATTTTAGGTGCTTTATCCTCTGAATTCCACTCCACAAGTTCAACCAGTGAAAGTCCACAAAAAAAAGGACAATGGGAAAAAATTGAACTGAAGACAAAGATTATGGGGACAGCAAAATTGGAAGGTGAAAGAAAATAAAAAAAATTGCATTTAATTTAATTAAGTTATTACGGAAAGCTGTTGTGAACAGTAATAACAATTATGTGACACCTGTTCGAAGAATTGGCTCAGTGTAATAAAGTGGCATCAATTAATTAATATAATTGTATACAGTTCCACTTAAATGAGAGCAAAATATTTAAAGGGAGGCTGTGTATGCTAATCTCTCTCTGCTTTTTCACCCTTAGGTACTTCACCCCTCACTGTAGTACCCATAACTGGTTATGGAAAAGAATTGGAAGAACCTTGGGGAAGGAAAGGTGAATGGGATGCTCTGTTTGAACCCATTTCTAAAGTTAATGTAGTTAAAACATGTTGCTCATTGTTTTCAGCTAGTTAAATCCAAGTGGAAAGTTGTATTTTATTGAGAGTTATTGACTATTTAAGGTTCTTCATGTTGGTTGAGTTTTTCCCTTTGTTATTGGGAAAAAAAACCCACTTTTATGTGGATTTAGTTGATCTACCCTTAAAATTGTCATCAAACTACCTTGAAATTAATAAAAAGATGTGGGGCTTACTACTTTCAGTTGTTTTTGTTGACATGTTTAGCATGAGTTCCAGTTTGGGTTCAGTTCTCCAGATATGGTCCAAAACAAAAAAAAAGAAAACAACATAGCAACTCACTGACTTGTTGTATTGATGCATTGATATTGAAGAAGTGGAAGAATTCATAGGTGCATAAATTGGCCAAAAAAGTCATAGAATTGAAGCTATGAAACTTCAGGAAAAGAGAGGAGAAATGAAACAAGAACGTGAATGTAGTTTTAGTCATTTTTTAAAATAGAAATTAATGTTATTAATGAGCAAGAATGCTTCTGTCAGCAATTATGAAAAATGATACTTGTCAATGCAAATTATTTCAAATGTGTTTTTGCATCATTCTCTTCTCTAGTTAAAGGTAGTGTTGAGTTTCCAGGTAAATGCTTTTTTAGTTGTTTTTAACAGCTTCTTTTTCGGGTTTAAAGCATCTTTGTTTAAATAAAGGCAATCTACAGTGTACATGTACCTACTGGTATCTTTAAATACAAGTTGTACGCCTGTTTCTAACTATTTATCTGTAGAAATGCTAATCTCTCACTGTATACCTTTGCTTTTAGGCATGTTGCCTCTTCCTGGATCTTCCATCTTTGGTCCTGAAGAAGAACTAGTAGAGCCACATATGAAACTCCAAAGAATAAAAGGTGAATAAAAAGATGTGTTAAATTAACTTTAATGGTAAAGCTAAACTAAAAATGCTTTTAAATACATTTACTTCTCATTCAAAATATTTTTTTTTGAAATGAAATTATACCCAGTTTAGTTTTCCCTCACTCAGTGTTTTGCTATTAGGGAATATTAAGATGACAGAGCTGGGGTTGGTGAAACAGTATGTAATGACAAACTACGTCTTTTTTATGTTGGTCTCAAATTATGAATTAAAAAGTTGACAGTTATATAGTTCAGGTAGATTTTGTACATTGTTTACAATCTGTTAATTACATGTTGATTTGACCTGTTATCATGTTGCTATTAAAAGTAAAACCATGAATTCCTCTTTGTACTTTTCCCCTTAAGGTCAACTCCCATTACTGTGGACACCCTTGGGGGGAGATTTAGTGTCTGTAATAGCAAAAAGTTTGTAATAATGGGGTACAAGAGAAATAAACATTTGTTTTGTTTCTTAACATATGAAATAAAGTTTCCACAAACCAGAAAAAGATCTGGCTGTAAGCAGAAAATTTCATATGTTCACACCCAATTGAAAAATGGTTTCTTTATTTCCCTTTTTCATAATGTCAGTTCATAGTATATATGCTAGTCATGATTTTGGACAGAGTAAATAAATGTCAGTTATAGCAAGAGAAAAAACAAGTGAAAAGTCATGCTGGGGGTAAGGAAAGAGTCTGCATTATTGCAATAGCAAGAGTCTGTTATAGAGGGAATTTATTTCAGTCATTTCTGTATGTGTTTCTCCAGGGGCTGGCTCTTGTCTGCAGTGGCAAGGTGTCTGTAATAGTGAGGTGACCACAGGGGTAGAGTCAACTGTAGATTAATCCAAATTTGGCATTGTCATTTCTTTTCTGTCTGGTTGTATTTATCTTTGGCTCTAAATATAAATAAAATAAAACAAGCTAAAATAAAAATTGGCAAGATTTTAGTTGAAGGAGCTATAAAAGAAAATGTTACCTGTATTTGTGTGTGGGGTTTTTATAAAAATGATTTGAGGTGTGTTGTATGGTTTTGAATGTCAGTATTTAGTGGTTACCTCATTATTTGTTTTCTTTTAAATCTTATATTAGATGCCTTATCTTCTGAATTCCACTCCATAAGTTCAACCAGTGAAAGTCCACAAAATCAAGAAGAGCTGAAAAAACGGAAACAGAAGACAAAGATTGATGAGAAAGGTGAAAACAAAATTAAAAGACATATTAAGTTGTTAAGGAAAGCTGTTGTGAACAGTAATAACAATTTATTATATAACAAAGCTTTGAAGAATTATCTCAATGCAGTAATGTGGCATTAGTATTATTTTAAGAGTACAACTTATGGGGAACAACTTACAGCGTATCTGAAGAGAGGCTGTGAATGTTAATCTCTCCCTGTACTGGTGTTGTGTTACAGTATGGTTACCTGTCACAACAATGTCTTGTTCTTATTCATAAGCAAATTTTTATCAGAAACCGGATTTGCTTCTTGTTTTAATATTTGTTAAATCATCGATTGATATTCACCAAATTGCTCGAAAAAAGGAAGGGAAACATTAAATGGATCATGTCTAAAAGTAAACACGAGTGACCACTAGTAACCACTGGTAAAAAAGCGAAAAAAAATAATCATTTACTAAAATAAAAATAATTGATTAGATAAGAAAAATATTACAGGGAATTTTATGGGAAATATTAAAGGAAAAAGAATTGTTGGAAAAAGAACTGTAGGGCTGATTTAGACAACCAAAAAAAAAGTATTTTAAGCTTTCTGAATGACTAATAAAAAATATATATTTAATATAATCAATATATTAATTTAATCAATAGATCCTTTCTGGGAGTTATTTTTTTCGGCAAAACGATACGATTGCGTTACTTCAGTCGACGGCCTAAAGGTCAAACTATGAATGAAGCGTTGACAAGTAGACTTTACTTATTACAGAATACAAGGAAAGAATCACATTCGAACTTAACAGAAATTTAGATCTTGTCATAAGCTTTCTTAAAAACTTACAATAAAATCACGTGTCATGCACAGTCAAGAAATGATTCGAAAAACGGAAACATCGAAGCATTTACCTTTTTTCCTTTTATTCGGGGTTTTTATTGAATGAGGGCTACAGTTCTTTTACGTTTAATATATCCCATTAAATTCACTGCAATATTTTTCTTATTGTTGTTTTTATTTTGGTTAATGATTAACTTTTCCCCGCTTTTTCACTCATGGTCATTCGTGGTCATTCATGGTCACTCATGCGTACTTTACACATGATCGTCAAAGTTGCAATTGTTTATTGTAGCGGAGCTCGCAGAGCGTAGCCTCATAATTATACAAAATAGTAGTAACCCATCAAGCCGAAAAAATTTGGATGTACTACCGTACGACCGACCGTACAAGGTGCTACTTTTAGCATGCGCGGCCGACTGTACCACGGGCACTATCTTATAATCAGTCCTCTACACAGACACGGAGAAGTTGCGAATGAAAATCCACTAATATTACCACGCACTTTATCCATAGTAGGGGCTTTCGTTTTGTTGAAGAGACGTGCGGGAAAAAAAAATGCGAGCTCCGCTTTTAGGCTTGCCTAAATCCATATATTATGTGAAGTCGCTTTTCACATGCTGTGCGACTTCTTATGCCGCGACTAAAACTCATGGCAAATTTAGCTCAACAAAAGTTATTTAAACAGGTTTACAACGCGAAAACGCAGCCATCTTTTATGCCTAATGGTTCATTATTATTCACACTACTCTGTAAAGAAAAAAATTAATAATACTTAATTTTAGTCACGCGCGTTATCGTTGTGGGGATGAATGTGCCAAGCGCTTGAGAGTCTTTGTTCAAACAGTTCGCGCAACATGCCTTAACATCCGTTCCGTGTTTTAGGATTTGAGGTCATTTTCCGCCGTTCCGTGTTTTAGGATTTGGGGTCATTTTCGGTAAAATTTCCGCACAGCCCCATACTACATTATGCATTCAGTTCTTGGATAGAGAAAACAACGACAAAAACAGTACATTGCCATCAGGAAAACAGATTTGTTTAACAATAGTATGGGGATGTGCGGAAACTTTACCTCATTTTCCGCCATTCCGCTCTTCCGGCTTTTAGGGTTGCCCGAAATTGGGAAGTAATATTAGTGAGTATTCGCTTCGTTACTCGCTCAATTATACGCGTGTTTCGATGCCTAGGGTAAGTAATAATAATAATAATAATAAAAGATTTATACCGCGCCAGTATCCTACTGTTCAAAGGCGCCTACAAGAAAAAACTTAAACATTAACACTTAAGACAGCTAATATTAATTATAAAAGGCTTTTCTAAAGAGTAAAGTTTTTAATCTACGTTTAAAAACAGACACAGACTGAGCATTTCTAATTTCATTGCTAAGCATTCCATAATTGCTGCTACAAAAAGGATCTTGCGCCATATGTTTTCAAGTTATAGGATGGAGAAACCAGAAGGTGCTTGAATGATGAGCGTAGTTGAAGCGATTGTAAGATGTAAGCAGATCACAAATATGCCAGGTTTTAAGTGCCTTGTAATTATAAGTAAAATCTTAAAAATAATACGTTGGTTAAAAGCCAATGAAGATTGAAAAGAACAGTTGTGATCATTTTTTTTGTAAGTGTGACGAGGCGCGCCGCGGCATTCTGGACGTGTTGTAGCCTTTTTATAGCGTAGGCTGGTAATACAAAAGGAATTACAGTAATCCAGCTTCGAAGATACAAACATATGAACCAGCAATTCAGTAGTGGTCGCTGAAAGATATTTCCTTATAGCTAATATTTCGCAAATTAAAATGAAGATTTACAAATGTCAGTAAAATCCTTAATCAAAAATGGCTGTCGAACATAGTGCCGATATTCCTCGCCTTTTGCACGGAAGGAATAGTCTCACCAGCAACTGAAATTTCGTGAAGGAGTGGTCTTGGAAGCTGTTTAGCGGAAATTACCAATAATTCAGTTTTGTCTTTATTTAATTTAAGACGATTAACCATCATCCAATGACTGATTTCATCCACACAGCTATGCTAGAAACCGCTAGATTATCACCCAGTACGGTTGGTTGGAAAGACAAGTAAAGCTGTGATCGTCAGCATAAAAATGATAGCTCAGGTTAAATTTCTTTACGATTCTGAAAGCGGTGAAGTATAAAGCAAATACAAAATGGGTCCCAAAACCGATCCTTGTGGCACTCCACATTTAAGGTCATGTTTCGTCGAAGTACCACCATCAACCGAGACATATTGCGTGCGATTCGATAAATAAGATTGCAACCATAATAGAGGCTTCCCAGCTATCCCAAACCGTACACGTAAACGAGAGAGGAGGATGGTATGATCGACTGTATCGAAGGCAGCGGAAAGGTCTAACAACAGCAAAATTACGATTCGACGATTATCAATGGCAGAAAGAATATCATTGTGAACACGAATAAGTGCAGTTTCAGCACTGTGATATTTCTTGTACGCCGACTAAGTGACATTTTCCTTCCCAGCTGATTCATCGACAACTCAAATCAAGCAAATCTTCTGCTACTACTCGTTATTCAATAAATTCGCGAAGCGATGCGACATATGTCAGTGTAACATTATAGCTTTTTTCATTAAGTTAACTTTCCGTTGTCGACTCGTCGCATTGTCAAACATAAAAGTTCTTTGTTTTACTCAACAGTGTAATACAAAGGATACTTATAGCACTGAATAACAAAGGCACATGAGTTGCGCATTTTTTTCGATTGTGCGCGAAAAACAATCGTATTTGTGCGCCTGACCACCGTGCGTCTGAGCGTATGTAATTCGTCTTCGCAGTTAACATATACGCGAGGGTACTGTATCATTCATAACACTGAGGGACCACAAATCGAACTTCGCTAACAAACCGACCTGCCGACTAACCAACCCCACCAAATCCAATATTGGCAGAATCAGCAAAACAATCCTCGACAGAATCAACAACAAAATCACGAGAGCATCCAAGTTCAACCAGT